CCCCCCCCAGGGCTGCAGAGATGGCTCCGAGAACCATGTGCACAACAGTACAACAGGTGCCTGGTCCCTGTGTGGCTCCTGCTCTGTCACTTCAGTGCCCACCCTCTGAGAGTGCAGACCCCACTGCTCTTGGGGCAAATCTGGATTTTCATGCATGAGGATTTCCTTAAAGTGAGGTTTACCTGACCACAGTAACTTCCACTGCCCCATTATATTTTCCCTCCACTGACCTTTTCTGGCCAGCTGCTGGGGTCACAAAAAGAGGCTCAGAACCTGCCTGCCCTCAGGAAGCCTGCGGCCTGTAGGGAGAGGCCAACACAGGGCCACACCTGCAGTACAGTCAGTGCCAGACAGCGCGGCCCAAGGGCCGAGGGGCTGGGGGCGTGGAAGCCAAATCCCAGTTTGAGTTCTGGTCTCCTTGTGTCTGGTCTCCTTGTGTGGGCCCCCATGGACCCACACACATGCTCATGGGTTCTCAGGATGTACACAGAAGTACACATGCAGAGGGCCACACTGCTCGCCTAGACCAAACACCCATTTTACAGATAAAGAAACTGAGGCCCCAAGAGAAAATCCACAGGCCTCAGGTAGGCCACATGGAAAGTCAGTGGAGGAACCAAGGCCTTGCCTCTGTCCCCAGGTGTCCATGGTTGTCCTGCACCCTGCATGAAAACACACAGCCATGGCACTCTGCATAGACATGCCTGAAGATGCTCGCTCCTCACACTGCTGAGTCCCACACAGCCTGGCATGGTCCTTCCACAGCCTGTCACTTGGTTCTCATGACGGCGTGGGGGTAAGAGTAATGGACCCTATTTCACATTTCAGCCACAGGAGACAGAAAATATTTGGTCCAAGGTTGTACAGGTAGGGACAGGCTGTGGCACCTGCCAAAGCCAAGTCCACACACCCCGACATCGTTTACATAGCTCCTTCTTTACCCCCCCGCCAATGCACACACACATATATATGCACACATACACACACACACACACACACACACACACACATGCAACCATGCCCCCCAAACGGACCATAGTCCCCATACCCTCCAGTTCAAAGTTCTAGTGCCAGCTTCCTCCCCAAAGGGCTCTTTGGAAGAAGGACAAGTTTGTTTAGGCTTAACCTGCCCCCTCAGCTGCCCAGCCCTTTCCCTTGGCTGGGAAGATGAATTCTGCTCTGAGATCACCTGGGACATCTGGTGAGTGCCCTCTGACACTGGGAGCCAGTCGACTCAGCTGTGCATTTCTAGTTCTTATTTGTTTTTCCCTATAAGAGAGAAGTCTCATTTTCTTGAGAACCAAGGAATTTCCTCCTCTTTCCCCCATCCTGAGATTCGGGGAGCTCAAGGCCTGGAGTCTGTGCACGGTGCTCATGGACACCCAAAGGTTTAGGCTGGCCCTGAGAGGAGGAACAGGGTCAGGGGCAGCAGCCTTTGAGAGTTTCCTGTGGGCCAAGAGTTCCGTTAGAAATACTCAGATTCTCTGAGTGCCCATTTTAGAGATGACAACACAGGGGCTCCACGAGGGGAATGTGACGGGATAGGTGACTGAGCTGAGCCTGCAGCCCTCATCTTCCTGCTCTGGCTCCTGTCCTGCTGCTTCTGCCCAGGGCACCTGTACCACCCAGAGCAAACAACCCTCCTCCAAGCCCCAGGCACCTCAGCTGTACAATGGGGACCACATTCCCCAGTGGAATGGTCAGCTCTTATAATAATGACTTCTGCGTCAAAACAATTAGTCAAGAACAAAGCGCAGCAGGGGAGGAGGGAGCATTTCTATTTTTATTGTTTTGGGGTCAAGAGGCAAGCTCCCTCCTAGGATTCATGCAGGAACGACCGATTACAGTCACTTTCTGGAACTAATTAATGAGCACTCTTGCTTGGCCACCAGGGAGCTCAACTAGAGACTCCTCTGAAGGAAGTGGAGCAGGAAGGGGCTCGGGAGTCTAGGCTCGAGAGTCCCTGGCCAGTTGGTTGCAGGCACCTGCCTGCTCCATTGTTCTCCTCAGGGCCCAGCCAAGGCCTTCCCTGGGCTCCAGGTCCCACCTCTGCCCCGGCGGGCTTTGGCAAAGGCCACCTTGATTTCTTGGTTTATAAGTTCCTTCCAGGGGTCTCTGAAGAAAAAGGGAAAGTAAGAATCATAACTATCACACCCAGAACAATGGTCGTGGGCATTTAGGGCCCGACCTGCTGGCCAGTGGTCCCTTTGCTTCTTTTGTTTCTCCTGATCCCTGCAGCAGCCCTGCAGAGTAACCACTGCCCTCCTGAATTTGGCACTGTAGAACCCTGAGGCTCAGAGAGGGAAAGTGTCTTTCCCAGTGTCACACAGCTGCTGAATGACCTACATGCATGGCTTTGGGTCCAGTGGCTGTCTGGGAGATCAGGAATAAGCCCCAGCTCTGTCCCTTACTCAGGAGGGATGAGCAGCGGTAAAGTGAGGGGCTCTGTGATTTTCGAGGTGTTATGCAAACTGAGGGTCAGACCCAGGACTCCTGCTCCCCCCACACTTTTACCTTCTCATGTGTTCCCTTCCACAGGCTCTTGGAGTGGGGCAGGGCTGGGTTATTGTCTTTCCACAAGGCCCTGAAAGAGGGCTCAGAGCCTGCCTGCCCTCAGGAAGTCCTTGGTCTGTAGGGAGACACAGGGCCACAGGGCCACCTAAGTGCAGTCAGGGCCTCCCGGCCACCTGGCAGGGGAGCCTGGTAAGCAGACGAGAAGAGGGAGAAGGATCTTTCATGGAGCGTCTCTGATGGGAGGCATGTTTTGGGCTGGTGGCCAGGCCAGGCCATGGTGAGGGGACAGCCACTTTTGTCTCTTCCCCGAATCTCCATTGGCCTCCTCAAACATCCCTAAATATTAGGTTGTCAGAAAAGTCATGACGTATTTTTCTATGTTTTTCTGTGCAAAAAAGCATCATGACCTTCCCGATGACCCAATAGAAAGATACTTTCTGCAGGTGAGGGAAACACATGGGTAAGACTAAATGCATCTGTAGAAAACTTGGCTTTAGAAAAAAAAACAGACTAGGGGGCTAGCAGGTTGCATGGTGGTTAGGGTGCTAGATTCCTACATGGCTGACCACAGTTCAAGTCTCAGACCTGGTGGCTTGAACATCATGCCAGGCATGTGTGTGGGCATGCCCAAAATCTCAGAAGGAGAATGGAGAATGGATTGCGGTGTGGCCATCCTCCCCAGGGGGTGAGCTCTCACTTTCCCTTTCATTGTCTCTCTGGCAAGCACATGCACCCTATGGCAAACCACCCCCCCCAAAAAAAAAAAAGAAAGAAAGAAAGAAAGAAAGAAAGAAAGAAAGAAAGAAAGAAAGAAGAATCAGGCTATAGCATTCAAGTGCACATTTGCTAACTGCCTTGGAAGTGCAGCTCCAAGGCTAGTCCCCATGCAGTGCTGGCAGCCTGAGCACGCCCTGCAGAGTCTCTGTCTGTCTGTCTGTCTGTCTGTGATCTCATCTCTAGACCATCTGAGGGACATGTGGTGGTGTTTCCATGTGCACGCATACCTGGTGCCCATTATGGCATAGTGTACGTGTACCTGTGTGTGGGTGTGGGTGTATGTGAATGTGTGTGTGCTCACAAGCCCCTGCAAGCTCACATGTAGGGCCTGAGTACAGAGGTCCTCCCCTGCCTGCCTGGAGGTCTAGGAGGAGCTCACTGCGACAGATCTCTGCTCTCCTCCATGCCTGAACCAAGAAGAAGATGAAGACGTTGCCAGTCCTTTCTTAAATTTCTGTTCAGGAGTGGCAATGTCATTGGCTAATGGGGCTCTGGGTGACAAAGGGCTGCCTGATCTGCTGGTTCCCAGTTTTGGGATGGGGTAACCAGGAGGGCTAGGAGCCCAGTTTCCCACAGTGCCCTCAAGGACAGAGCCAGGCTGGGGACATGGCAGGATGCCCTGAGTGCCAGGCAGAGAAGGACAGGTGTGCAGGTGCACCGATGTCCAGAGCTCAAGTGATCTCATGGGCGGGGAAAGCTCCATAAGCACATCAGTAAGAAGTCAGGTAGTAACGAGCACCATGGAGACTGCCACGTTGGGAGACAGATTGCAGGGTGGCAGCAGGGCCCCACTCGGAGTGTGCGAACAGAGCCACCTCCTGATTAAGGTGTCTTTAAGCAGAGATCTGCACAGGAAGGAGGTGCAAGGCATGGTGGGTACAGGGAACAGCAAGAGCAAAGGCCCCGAGGTGAGGAGACGCTAGTGTGCTGTGAGGAACAGCAATGGGGCCTGTGAACGGCAGAAGATGGCAAGAGAGACTGGACGGAGAGGCAGGCTCCGGTGGGACCACGCAGGACCCCAGTGAATGAGTGACAGAATCTGGGCTTTAACCTCAGAGCAATATAACAGCCAGGAACTTAACACCAGGGAACTTTCTTATCGATTGCTGGTGTTTTTAACAGATCGCTCTGGCCGCTGGGTGGAGAAGGATGGAAGCGGACCAGTAGGTGAGGGGAAAGTGGCCAGGAGACCCTCCAGTGGGCCAGGGGAGTGGTGAGAATGGCTAGGTCAGATGAGGGCATGGAGCCCGAGAAGCCAGAGGAGGTGGGGGTGTGATGGAGGCAGGGCTGCAAGTTGTATGCGTGTACATGCATGTGTGCGCACACCCGTGTGCATGCACGTACATCCATCTCTGAGCATATATGCACATTAGTGTTTTTGTGTGCAGGATCTGAGCCTTAGTGGGCACAGGGACTCTCTCCTGCCTGGAGGTCTGGAGTCTCTGTCTTGCTGACCACAGGGAAGTTTGATGGGGATGGGGTGGGGGGTGCCGGTGGAGAGGTAGAGGGGCCGAGGATAGTGTGAGGCTTCTGACTGAGGAGCAAGGTTGTGGACAAGCAGAGGTCTCTGGAGGAAAACCAGGTTTCAGTGGTGGGTGGACCTTTGGGGCTGGGGGTGGCGAGAGCCTCAGAAGGAATCACTGAGGGGCAGCCCAGCATGCAGAAGGGAGGTAGAGGGTGTCCTCAGCATCAGGACTATGGGGGAGGCCCCATGGAGGAGCGCAGTGAAACCCCAGCACCTGGGCGAGGAGGGAGAGCTGGCTTCCTGGGAGAACGAGTTGAGGAGAGGTTCGAGGAGGCGGAGGCAGGAGGAACATGTTTCTAGGAAGAGGACAGGCAGAGGGGAAGGCGCCTAGCTGTCCAGCTGAGAACTAAAACTGCCCATGGATCCTGTGACATGGACAGGGGCCACATGGGTGACTTTCCTAGGAGCCTCCTGGGCCAGGTGGGGGTGGAAGTCAGACTGTGGGCTGGGCTGGGGAGAGTGTGGGTGGGAGGAAGTGAGGATGGGACAGCAGGCAGTCTTTTGAGAAGTATAGGCCAAGTGAGAGACTGAGTGGGAGTGTGGGGCCAGAGGGGCCCATAGGCATGGAGGTGAGAGACAGAGTCGGTGTGTGGGTCCAGAGGGACCAATAGGCGTGGAGGTGAGAGACCGAGTGGGTGTGTGGGGCCAGAGGGGCCCATAGGTGTGGAGGAGAGAGACGGAGTGGGTGTGTGGAGCCAGGGGGGCCCATAGGTGTGGAGGAGAGAGACGGAGTGGGTGTGTGGGGCCAGGGGGGTCCATAGGTGTGGAGGAGAGAGATGGAGTGGGTGTGTGGGGCCAGAGGGAGCTCGCTGGACAAGGCTCAGAGGCTGACATACCAAGGGAGGCCACAGGGAGGAGCGCTGGAGCAGCAGTCCTCAGAAGGAAAGGGGAGGGGGCCACAGCCAGGCCTGTTCTCAGGATGGGGGCTGCCTTGGCACAGGGGCGGAGAACTGGATGCTCAGAAAACAGACCTCTAGCCTGAAATATTCTGGGCTTATGCAGATACCCAAGATCAGACTGCTAGAGGCCTAGAGACGGGATTGTGGCCTGACCTGACCCTGTGGAGGGCATGCCCCATGTTTCTTCTCACATGCTTGTGCACATGCTCTATCATGGACATAAAAAAATGATCAGAGCAGCCGAAAGGACCTCAGGAGAGGGACCTGCCATGGTCACACCATCCAGAGCCTGCAGTGGGGGTCCACCTCTGCCCCAGACCCAAGCCCTGTTCTCACACCCTGTCATCTACAGAGGTGAGGGGCCTGGGCTGTGTGGAGGCCTCTCCACAAATACAAGCTGATTCTGCACACAGGAGGCTGGCATGTCCTTATAAAAGGGTGCCAGGTCAAAGGGCACGACCCCACGCCTGGCCTCTGGTTCAAGCCCTGATGTGGCCATGCTATGGGATCCCAGGCGGAGACTTGCCCATCCCTGGGCTCAGCCTCCCCATTGGTGGAATGAGCCACTGGCCTCTGTGGTCCCGGCACCTCTGTGGCAAGTGGCATCACTCATGACCCTGTCTCCCGGCCCTAGACTGTTGCTGCTTGGATGGACGGGAGTGGGGGAACAGCACGCTGGAGTGAAATGTTGTTGCACCTTCCCCAGCGTGTCCTCGGTGAGTGATATTTATCCTAAGGCAAGAGCCACCCAGACAGGGACAAGTTCCACCTCACGTGACCTCTCAATGTGGGTGTCCTTTTATCTAAGAACTCCTTGTCTGTGGAAATAGTGTGAATAGCAAATTGCAATAATATTTACCAAATTGTTCCCCGTAGTCAGTTCAGAACGGAAAGTTCTACACGCTAAGCAGTGAAAGATTAAGCAAACTGTGATGTGCCCACATGTCGCAGACCCGACGCGGCCATGACAGGTCTGTTCTAAGGTGCTCTGAGCTATGTGGGAAGGTGCCCAGGACTGCAAGCTGAGCCCAGAGCAGGGCCCTAGGGTGCCCAGGTCAAATGCAGGAACCAGGCAGCAGCTACACTGAAGCGCAGCAGCCATCGTCAACCAGCAGTGGGAACGGGGGATTATGCAATCCTTAAAGAACTCTGTATTTTCCAAGTTTCCCATGAGAGTCAGGTAATTCTTTTATACTCAGGAAAACAAATACAAACGTTGAAACAAAAAAGTCCAAACTTTGGGGAACTGCCCCCCTTTCCTGCTTACTTACCCCGGCTTGATGTCCAGAGGGGTGGGGAGGGCTCTGGGGAAACCTGCCTTCCCCGCCAGCCAGTAGGTCTCCTCAATGCCCTTTCCCTGGAATAGAGAGAGGGAAGGGGGGTAGAGAGGGCCTTCCCCAAGCAAACCTTGTCCAGCTGAAGGGCAGAGAGTCACCTGATGCCCACAGTTCAACACAGCCCAGTCAGAACCTGGGGGCCTGGCTCAGCTCTGCCTTTGGCTAGCTGTGTGACTTTGGTCAACTTCCTTTACCTCTTTGCGCCTCAGTTTCCTCAGTACCTTGTAAAGTTACTGTGAGGGTTAAATAAGTTAATATTGATCTGTGAGGGCTAGCCCTGTCGCCTAGTGGTTAAGGGAACCGGATCCTACATGGTCAACTGCAGTTCAAATCCTGGCCCCGGTGCCTTAAAAAGCATGTTGGGTGCAGGTTTGTGGATGCACCAAACTCTCAACAAGATGGTGAAAGGGAGGAGAAGGGATCGTGGCTTGACACACTGCCCTCTCTCTCTCTCTCTCTCTGGCAAGCACACATGGCCTTTGTAAATCAGAAAAAAAAATCTATTAGAGAAATAAATAAAGAAGGAATCGTGAACCCATGACTAGCAGGTCTGGAATACTCAGAATACTCAGATCTCAGGATTCTGTGACCTACGAGTCCCTCCAACCTTTGCTGTTAAAGCGCTTGGTCACCTCCCCATGCTGGGCACATAGCTGCCTGCCCGATGGGTTAGGGGCAGGAGGGACCCTGGGGTCAGATCTGGCTGGTCTAGGCCAGGGCTTTAAGAGATGGATATTGCCCCTCAGAGCCCTAGGCCAGTTCACGTGCCTCCCCCTTTACTCCTCTCTGCAGCCCTTTCTGTCACCAGAGTCCTCTGTCCCTCAGGACACCCAGCCCCTTCATCCCTACCAAGACACGCCTGCCTTGACTCGCTCCAGCTCGCTTTCCTGTAACCGCAGCCCCCAAGAGCACAGTGTTCCACGTAAGCCGGCTTTTAGGGCTGCGTGACCACAGCTTCCTGCCTCTCTGGCCTGCACCCTCCTGCTCTCACATCCCTAGTGTGATGAAGCAGGTCCCAGGGAGCACACTGCTTCTGGGACCCTGACAGCCATGGACTCCAGGCCTGGCTCTTTCTGAGGACTGGAGGCATAGAGGGGGTGGGACAGGGAAAAAGTCACTCACGGGGTGCCGTGCCATTGCCTTATCGGACATGAACATCAGAATCGCACAGGTCGTGGACTTGTCTCTGCCTCACGGTGCCTGTGGGCTAGGACCCCCAGTGTCACACTGTGACAGCAGAGGGTTGGACATGGGACTGTCAGGTGCTCAGAGAAGGTTATATGGTCCCTGATTGGGGAAGGGAGTGGGAAAGGGGTGATGTCTGAGTTGAGGTTCTGAGGGCTGAGTAGGAGCCCAACAGGGCTATGGAGAAGACACGGTTCGATGGTTTGGGGTCATTGAACCTGGGTTATAAGCCCTGTGATGTCGACAAGTCACTTTGCCTCCATAGTTGAGTCTCTTCGCCATAGAGGGGCGACCACACCGCTGTTATCACTGTTCTGAGCGAGCCATGTGTTAACGTGTGCTGTGCACTCCCAAGCTACACAGGTAGGTCACAGTAGCAGTGACAGTGACTTCTCTGGCCCAGCCCTTGTTCTCACAGGGAGCCAGTGGTTCCTGGGAAGGAGTGTGTCCTTGGACTCCAGGGAGCAGAGTCCCTGCAGGGTACCTCTCCAGCTCTAGGCAGCCACATGGGCCAGACAGGACTCTCCCCACTGCTCACAGCCACTGGGCGTTTGGAGGCTTCCCTCACCATGATGGGAACATTCTCGCACCTTCAGCTCAGTCGGACCTCTGAGGACGACTTCGTAACCTTCATCGAGGCTGAGCAGCGTCCGCACTGTGCTTCGGCTGACGTGAATTCTGTAAGCTGGGGAGAAAGCAGCAATCCGGTCACCACCTGGTGGTGGCATCCCTAATGTCTGATCAAATCAGTGACCGCCTACAACTCCCAGCCCCACAATTATGATTTATGTAATACCCTGCTCTGGCCCTCTGGTCTCTCTTAGAGAGTTGATCACTGAAAGAGACGCCAAGGAAAAGCAAATTCTATGGTGGGTGATAAGAGGGACTCAGGCTGAAGTCAGAACCGTTAGGAGCACAGTTCGTACTTGCAGGAAAGGCTCTGAGGCTGACTCAGAGAAGATAAGCAATTTGTCTTTTTGCTTTAAGAGCAGGACTCCCTGGTAGGGCTGCCGTCCCCGGTTATGCAGGCCGTGCACTGAACGGTACCAGGTAGCCCACAGCACTCGTGGCCCCAATCCCTGGGGCTTCAGCATTTCCTCTGCTCGGACCAAGCCATCAGAGTAGCTCCTGCTGCCAGCAAGACTGCAACGTGGGGCTGCCTGCATGGTGTCGGGGCTGCCCAGCATAACGGGAGCCAGACCACAGCCAGGGAAAAACACAAGGAAACGGGCTTCTCGGTGTTCAGTGGGGAGCTAAAACCGAGGGTATGAGCGTTCTGCTCCAGGACAGCAGGTGAGCCAGTTGCAGTGCCAGCGCTGGGACCAGCTTTTCTGTTTCTTGAGTCATTGTTTTCTCTTCTTCCCTCGTAGGACCTCACAAAAACAAACAGACAAACAGGCAAACCTGCAAAGTTGGAAGAACTGGTAACGTGTCATCTCCTAGATGCTTAATGGACCACCAGGGCACGCTGCCACCAGGTGGTGGTTTGCGGAGGAAATACTACTCTAAGTCACCAGGCTGCACAGGTTATTATGAGCCTGGCACCCCCAGGTAGGATAGAAGGATGAGACACTCACGCAGCCCTGTGGACTCCATCCGGGATGCAGTGTTGACAGTGTCCCCAAAGAGGCAGTATCGAGGCATGGTGAGACCCACGACCCCTGCCACACAGGGCCCTGAAATCCAGATGTGCTTGGTGAGATCCAGCAGATTCTGGACCGAGAGAGGTCCCTATGACAGCCTCGCCCTTTTCCACCCCCACTGCTGTTCCTGTCTACACATCCTGAGTGCCAGTGAGGGGCGGGTGAGGGGATGGCGCTATTCGAGCTTCCAACAACCCCAGGGAGGAGATGCCATTGTGCTAGGCTGGGTTGGGGTGGGGGACACAGATAAGACAGAGCCAGTCCCTGCTCTGGGGTGCTCCTGGGGGAGGGGGGCGAGGGAGGTGTGTCACTGTGTTCCATGCTGTGAAGAGGGCAGCACTGCGCCAGCCAGCCCGGAGGACGACCTGTAACCCAATCCAGGAGACTTCCTGAAGGGGGCAATGCAGGAGCCATGCCTGGAAGCACGACAGAAGGAATGGGCAGGGGCCTGCAGGGGCACAGTTGTAGGGGCAGAGCCTGTGGGTCTGTGAGGACCACGAGCAGCACCGTCTGGGTGGAGGGCCCGGGGTGGCGGGGAAGATGAGGTTGGTGGGGTTAGCGAGGGCAGTGCGGGGTGGGAGCGGCGAGTGTGGACTCCATCAGAGGCTCTGTGGCCTCTCTCCCAGGCCTGTTTGTCTCCCCAAACATTTAGCTTCCTGCCTCTCCCATCAGACTACCACCTGCTCAACACGGACTCCTCAAAACATCCCCAACAGACACTGACAAGTGAAAATCAAAATAGGTATGTGAATCTAAGCATCGGAGTGTTTGGTTTGTAATGTATTAGAACCTTAAAATAATAGAAGAAAAAAAAGAACCAATGTTTTTCTATCGCAGAGGCTTAGAATTTTAGAAATCCAGAAGTGAGCCACTGGGGGCATCTAGATCGTTGGTCACTGAGAGAGGTGCCCCGGGGGGAGGGGTAGTGACTGCTGTGGCCCATCCCCTCATGCCCCCCAGTCTACCTGAGCATCACGCCCGCCCCAGCCCGTACCTGAGTGCAGGCCGGCCCTGATGCGCACAGGCACGTCGGGCGCATGCCTCATCCGGAAGTCACCCACAGAACTGAGGATGTCCAGGGCCATGTTGGCGATCTCAGCCGCATGCCGGCTCCCATTGCGCCGCGGTAGCCCCGACGCCACCATGTAGGCATCCCCAATGGTCTCCACCTAGAAACCGCTGTCTTCAGGCTCCAGCTCCAGCATGGCCTGCCCCACGCCTCTCCACACAGAAGCCGCTCAGGAAGCCCTGACCCTCAGCACGGAGGGGTCTCTGGCCCACAGTACCATCTCCACCAGGCCTCCAGTCCTGGGCACCAGAGCCACCATGGGTCCCGTGCATTTCAGACCTCTTTGTCCACATCACAGGCAGCCTGGGCCTTGAGCTCCCTGGCAGCAGACTTAGGTCCCCCACCTCACAGGGCCACAGGGGAGGAGCGCACATATGTAGGTTTGGGAATCAGACAGATGTGGGTTCAGACATCACCTCCGCCCTTCGCCTAGGCGGGCCACTCCAGCTGTGTGAGCCTTGGCGTCCTTTTACGTGGAATGAGTATGAAAGTACTTAAAGACCCAGGCCTGTCTGTGCCAAATGGATGGATGCTGCTGCTGGCTTCTGGCTCCATACCACCATGGTTTGGAGAAGACAGACTCCCAGAACCTCCTAACTGGAAGGGAATTCGATGGCCACCCACCAAAGCTGCCTCTCCCTCCCCTCCCCCCCAGTGGCTGTCCTTGCCTGCTCACAACTCTGGAGAGAGGAAGGTCTCCCCCTCCTTTTTTTTTTTTTCAGAGAGAGATTTTTTTCTATAGGGCACATGCATTCACCAGAGAGACAAGGAAAGACAGAGAGAAAAGAAGTGAGAAATCACCCCTCATGGGTGTTGGCCACACTGCTATCCTTTCTCTTCCATTCTCCTCTTGGGATTTTTGACACACGCACGCACATGCCCAGTGTGAGTTTTAAGCCACCAGGTCTGGGACTTGAAACACAGTTGACTACGTGGGAGTCCCAGTGACACAATCCTTATGCCATCTGTTGGTCCCAGCCTTTCCCTCTTAAGGTAACCACTTAGTTCTGCTTTTCAGAAGCTGAGGCAAGTTGAACCTGCCTCTCTGACCAGTTCCAGTTCTACCTCCTGAGCTCCATCTACACGCCTTTCCTAAGCATCTCCCCTGTTCCGAAGGCTATTCCAGCTGCTGGGGACACAGATGTTAATGAAGCGTGGTCTCCTCTGCCACAGGCCAGGCCTGCCAAGGGGAAGAAGGTGACTCGGCCTCCAGTCTTCCCCACTGAAGGCTGAAGAGCCCGGGCTCTGGGCTGCACCTCCTGAGCAGCACATGCTGGCCCACTGCTCGGGGAGCAGAGCCTCCCCTCGGCTGGACATCTCTGTGCCCACTGAGTTCCTGGTGGACAGGCGTGATGACCATGTCGCCTTGCCGTAGGGGGCGCTATGTTTCAGTAAACCACTCGCACACAGCACTCGCAGATGGACAACGCCCGCATCCCTGCCTCTGAATCTCTCTTTCACCCGCACGGGAAAGTGACCTGCCCTACTTACCTGGCATCACAATCAATCACGGGTAAAAGCCACGTCACGGGCCTCCCTGACGTGCAGCTTTCTGGCTTATTTGCAGCCAGTTGTGCCTGGTTGCCCACCCTCTGGTCAAATGGGACACATCACTCTGCAGAGAGACGGCCTTGTTCACCTGAGCCCTCAGCGGTCCCTCCGTCTGGAAGTGCTTCCCTGTTTCTGTCCGTCAAAACCTCCATCCTCCAGGCCCAGCTCGCACTGGACTGAGCCTGCGACATCTAAACCATTGCCAGCTGAATGTTTCCCTCCTCGGGGCCTTGCTGCCCCTCCCTCCCTGTGGCTGGCTGCTATCACTGTCCGCCCAGCATCTGTGGACGGGTGGTGAGAGTGCTGGGGTTGGGACGGGGCTGTTCCCACTGTGCGCGCCATCCCCACCTCACCAGGGAGACATGAGAGGCCCTGGGCTTTCCCCTGCCACCTCTCTTCGCCACCGGAGGACCGATGCCCTATTTCAGAGGAGAGCTCGACAAAGGGCTGAGTGCTTCCTAAGCCCCACATGTCGTTTTCGCGAGCCCTGCTGCTCCAAACCCCTTATCCATACGAACTCAATAGCTCGTCACAAGAATTCCGAGGTAGCTGCTGTCACCCTTGCTACCTACAGACAGGAACTGCTGGTGGCGAAGTCACTCCCCCGGGTCTCACAGCACAATGGGGACGTGGATTTGAACATGGACGTCCAGCTCCAGACTCTGGACATTCTGCTGCCTTCCGAGGCTTGTGGCTTAGGCCCCCTCTCTCTGTCTTGTGTCTACCCCCTTGTCTGCCCTCAGGGGGAGGCCTTGGCACCTTACGGTGGTGAGTGGATGAACGCTAGCATTTGTGCTCACATTACTGGCACTGCAGAACAAGCCCAGACCCTTGTCATCCCTGTTTTATAACTGCGGAACCTGAGGCTCTTACCCGGGGGTCAGGGGTGGTTAGGCGGTGGCAGGGCAGGGACAAAGGCAGGACGCATTTCCAGGCCAGGGTGAGCCCTCTCCTCCCCACAGCTCTGGAGATGGCTCCACAGACACGCTCTCTCAGCAAGTACTGGGGGGAAGAGCAGACCCCTGCAGAACCAGGAAATGACTGCTGGCTATCTCCCAGCCCAGATGATTAAAGAGGCAGGGGCTGGTGTGAGTGATGAGAGGCGCTCACACCCATGAGGACGGCCCCTGCCTCCCCACATCTGGAGGGGCGTGCGCCCCGTGTTGTTCCATCTCCCTCTGCCAGAGAGACGCAGACTCCTGGCCAGAGTTCAGAGCAGATCAGGGGGTGCGATTCAGCGCTGGGAGGGCCAACCACATGTGTGAGGAAAGACAAGCAGGGGAAGAAGAGACAGGGCTAGGTGACTCAGAGCAGATCAAAGCCGTGGGACTCAGCCAGCCCAGAGAGGAATCTTTCTGGGGCCCAGGAGTGGGGAGCAGGCTGTTCCAGAGGCTTGAGATAAGGCCTTAGAACTGTGGGCCAGGCTGGGGACATGGCATCCTGACAGGAAAGTGGCATCCTTCGGTGGTGGGCTCAGGTCTCCATGGGCCAGGGCTGGGCAGTAGACAGGGCTCTTGGGGTGGACATAGCTGATACTTGTCCTGGCTCTACTGCCTGCCAGTTGTGTGACTTCAGGCAAGCCACTTCTGGGCCTCTGTGTCCTCATCTAGTTGACAGATATTTCCTGAGCACCTTCTGTGTTCGGACAGTGCCAGACCCTGGGACGGAGGCAGCTAGGGGGACCAGGACAGTGATGAGGCATTGCACAAGAACTAGCCACATCTGAGAGGGTGAGAAAGTACCCAGAGACCAGAGAGATGATAAAGAGGGAGCCAGGTGATGAGGGTCAGGGGAGGAATAGTGTCCAGGAGGGGGGACGGCTCATGCAGACACCTGGCAGCCACAAAGTGAAGCATGTGGAGGAATCCAGAGGTCTACACCATTGCCATGGCTGAGGATGCAGTTCAGAAGTAGGTGAGCCCACCTTCTGGAGGGCTTGTGGGCCACTATGACCTCTGGCTTTATCTGAGCAGGTCCATGTCACCAGGATAATGAGCCTCCCCGAAGAGGAGCCTTGGGATCTGAATACCCAAGGTCACATCTCAGCTTCACATCCCACCAGGAAGGTGCCATCCTACCAACCATAGAACTTCTATTGCCTCATTTCCCCATCTGTAAATGAGGGGCACTGTATGTACCTCATCCATTGTGTTTCTGATTGAATGGATTAATACATGTAAAGCACTTAATCCTAGCGTCCAGCATACAGGAGGCCCTCATAAGTGCTGGCAGAATGGTTGTTGGGACACTGTAAATAATGCTATTGGCAGACTGCCTGGCACCCCGAATAGGTAGCTCTGTCCTCTGAAACTTCCTCCCTTTCCACCCTAGCTGCAAGCCTTCCCTCTGCCTGTCTCCTTGAAGAGCTGTGGTTGGACAGGGACCAGTGGGTCAGGAGGGTGCTATGGCCAATGGAGCCTGAGTGTGGTTGTTTCCTGGGACCTCTCTCCCCGCCTTCTCCACCATGTCTAAGTTGCTCTGTGGTCCCAGCGTCTGAATCAGAATAAGGGGCAGGGCTGGCAGTGGAGAAAGTCCACACGGGAGGGTGGAGCTGAAGAGTGGTGGGCAGCAGGCCACTGAAGCTCAGTTTGCACACACTTCTCCATGGGAGATAGGATCCTCCCATCGTTTGTGAACCTGCCAGGACTGGGGTCATTACTCTAGTTCACAGTCAAGGAAACAGGCCCACTGAGGGGGAGACATTTGCCAGTGCCACACAGAAGCTGGTGTCCATGCTGGGGCTCAAACTCATGAAGTAGAAGTTCAAAGGGGCTGGATCACAGAGGGTCTAGATGGCTCTGCCAAGGCCCTGGCGTCCATCTTCTCCAGCCACCACAGCCTATCCAGAGTGCCTGCTCAAGCCTCAGACTGTAGCTTGTCAGTCCCCCAGGGCCTGCCTCAAGAGCCATGCCCAGAATGAACAATGCTGAGAAGACAGCACTTCCTCCAGGAAGACTTCCTGCTCTTCACACATCTATACCTTGCTGGTTGGGGTCCTCTCAGCCTCCTCTGCCAACTTTGATTATTGCTTTCCCTGAGTTTTTATCATTTGCTACAGGACCAAGAGTTCCCTGAGGTAGGTAAGAGGACCAAGAGCTCCTTAAGGGTAGGTAGGAGCTGACTCACCTGTCTGCACATGCCCAGCACAAGGCCATGCATAGAAGAGCTTGCCAAGAAAAAATGTTAAAGGGAAGGATGGTCAGGCAATGGACAAGTGGACACAGAGTCAACTAAATGCAGAATGTCCACACTCTCCACCTCTCCTGTGTCCACATCTATTGTGATGACTTTTCTCAGTGTCTCCCATCCTGAGGTGGCATTTACTTCCCCACCTCTTGAATATTGGCTAATCTTCTGCTTTGATCAATAGAATACATCAGAAATAGCAACATGCTTGATGCCCAGTTATATCTCAAGAGGCTCATGTACTCTGTTTCTTTCTCTCAGAACTCTACCATATAAACAATCTTAGGTTAGTTGGCAAGAAGCTGAGACTATGTGGACCAGAACTGCATTTCCTTGGCAAAGCTCCTGAGACACGAGAAAACCCAGCTAAAATCATCAGAGCTGCCTACCTTACCTATAACTGATCACAGATACATAAGTGAGTCCAAAGAACCTTCCAGGCCCATAAAAAATATGAACAATAATAAATGCTTATTACTTTATACTGTCAGGTTTGGGGGGTTATTTGTTACACAGCAATGACTAACTGACACAAATACATACGTAAGTGAATGGCAGTCAATGTACCACACAGATACAGTAGTTAAAGGAGAGATGGAATGGTGGCCCCCTGCTAGTCTTACCTTATACACATCATGGCTGCCCAGAACAGCATCAAACAGCGTGTAGAGGTCATTGAGCAGGCCCACCACCTCGATGGGCTCACTCAGGGCTGAGATGGTGGTGAAACCCACAATGTCACTGAAGTATATAGTAACCTGGTCAAAATACTCTGGCTCCACAGTTGTCCCCATTTTCAGAGCTTCGGCCACAGACCTGAAGGAAGAGTTAAGACCTGTAGTCAGAGTTTAAAAGTGAGAGGACTCCTTTTATGTAGTTTGGAGGTTAGGGAGGAATATTCAGAGGAAATCCTGAGTTGAGCATTGTGGAATCTGGGACAGGTCCACTGGTATGCTGGCCACTCTGGACCAAATACCTGTGCCTCTTGACATAACTTCCTGTGAAATAAGGGTGAGAGCACTGTCCCCTCTCTTTGCTCCAGAGTGTGAGAAAGCAGACACTAAACACTTCTGTGCCCAGCACAGTGTGTAGTGCATGACGAAGACTCTATATACTGTTGGCTACATAAACACAAATGGATGAACTGAATCAATTCATGGAACCCATATTTACCAAGCACCTACTCTGTTCCAGGTTCCATGCTCAGAGCTGAGGCCAGAACACACTCAAGTCTGGGGTCCACTCACAGAGGAAGCATCTGTGACAGTAACATTTCAGTCTTCTGTCTCTCTAGCTCCAGCTCCTCCGTCCGCTCCTGGACCAAGTCTTCCAGGTTCTGGGAATACTTCTCCAGCATCCGCAGCATGGAGTCAGCAACACTGGTTTTCTTGCCTTGATTGATGTTTTTGAACTGCAGAGAAACAACAATCTCAATTCATTCACGAAGGCCCTCGTGCCCAGCCCTCAGTGTGAGGGTCTGGGGCCATAGTAATGAAGCAGAAAATCCCTGCCTGGAAGAGCTGTACTCCAGTGAAAACAATCCCAGAGATAGCAGCTCTGACAAGGGAAAATGATGGTCATCTGGAAGGAAAACTGGGTTAATTCTGTACAGAGTGGGCAGGCAGGAAGGGCACTTTGTAAGGATGCTGTGTCCAGCATAGCATTACTGGTACAAACACATAACCCTATTGCATTGGTTCTTCCAACTACATGGTGGGATGGGCATTCTTTGTTCTCAAAAAAAAAGAAAAAAGACTTCCAATTGAAACAATGAGATGAGCAGATGTTTGTCAATGAACAATAAAGAGTGTCCAGACAGGTGTTGAGGGAGCAACAGGCAGCAGGCAGCCAGAGGAGAAGCCACGGGTGTCCTTGGGAAAGCTTCTCACCTTCCTGTCTCCCCATCTCAGCATCAGGAGAGGTACCCATTTCACAGACGAAAATTTGGACCTTGGAGTAACTGAACTCTAAGTGTTCACTATGAGGGTGGATTGATCTAGCTGTCAATTCATCCATGAAGGCCCAAGCGCCTGGCTCTTTGTGTGGGGGGGTCTCCTATTTCATATTTTACATTAAAAGCAAAGGTACAAACTTTAAATGTATGATAGCTATTGGCCCTGAGACACTAGAAAGCACATGAAGCTGACTACAAGGCTGCCTCTGCATAGAGGGCCACCATTTTATAGTGAAGAAACATAGGTGAAAAAGCTTGCCAAGGAGGCCACAGTGGTGGAACTGAATTTCAATTGGAAGTCTCTTTTTTGTTGTTTATTTGCTTCCTATAGGTCATGTGTGCTTGCTGGAGAGGGATACACAGAGAGAGACAGAAATGGAAAATGAGAAATCACCCGTTGTGGGGATGGCAATCTTACAGTCCATTCTCCTCCACGCACATCTCTGGATTTTAGGGATGCACACACATGCCTGGAATGATTTTCAAGTTGCTGGGTCTGGGACTTGAACTATGCAGTTGGCCATGTGTGATCCAGTCACTTTACCCTCCAAGCCATCTGCTGGCTCCTCAATTAGAAGTCTTTTATATATCAGGACCAGCAGTTAGTGTAATGGCTATGTCGCTGGACTCCCGTGTAGTCGACTGCGGTTTGAGTCCCGGACCCGGTGGCTTAAACTCACACTGGGCGTGTGTGCGTGAGTGCCCAAGATCCCGAGAGGAGAATGGAGGAGAAGGGATTGCGGCGTGGCTATCCCCCCTGGGGGGGTGATTTCTCATTTTCTGTCTCTCTGTTTCTGTCTGTCTGTCTGGTGAGCGCATGCGCCCTATAGCAAAAAAAAAAAAAAAAAAAAAGTCTTTTATATATCAGGTTGTTGGAAAAGTTGTGAGGTATGTTTTCTATATTTTTCTATGCAAAAATGTGTCATGATTTTCCAACAACCCAGTATTAAATTTATCACCAGTTATCTCACTGAATTGTTTTTCATTTAGAACGTGTTTTCCATGGATGGCCCAGGAACAAATCATAGGATCTGCAAACAACAATCATTTTCTTCTTCCTACCCAATATTCATTTTCTTGTCTAACTGCATTGGCTAGTAATTCCAGAAGAAAGTGAAATGAACATAAACCTTGGTCTTTTGACTTCAAGGTCAGTGCTTCCTCCTGTATCTCACTCCTCTCCTTGACAAGCTCATTCATTCATTCATTTATTCTTTCTTTAATTAGTTACCTCACTTGATAGTCTCAGCTTGCTGGAGAGTTAGACCAGGGTTAATTATCTTCCCAGGTAACATATAAGGAATCTGAGACTCCACGGAGCAATTAGCTTGTCCAAGGACAAATAGTAGGTAAGTGGCAGCACTGATGTGAATCCAGGCATCGTGTGTCTTGAGCTCCCTCAGTGTGGTGGGGTTCCTACCTTTTACATGCTGAATACATCATGGGCCCATCTCAGCCTACTTTGCCATGGAGCCTCAGACAGGGGTCTTTTCCCATAGTCTCCCCTCACTCCACACAAGACCTCTTCCCTCTGCTCACTGGTCATGACCATCTCTGATCCCCTAGGAAGACTCCAGGCTGGTGTTTCCAGAACCTGTTGCTCATCCTGTCTGTACTACCTACCCTCACGGTGAACATTCAGAGCTCAGTTACTCCAAGGTCCAGTTTCTCTTCTGTGAAATGGCCACCTCCCTAGATGCTGAGATGGGGACACAGGGAGGTGAGAAGCTTTGCCAAAGACACTCGTGGCTTCTCCTCTGGCTGCCTGGCTGCCTGGCTGCCTGTTGCTTTCTCACCATCTGCCTAGACAGCCATTATGCTGTCTAGAACCTCTCCTTGGCAACTTCCGCATGGCTGGGGAGCAAGGGGTGGGGAGGGGGAGTTGTGATGGGTCAGTCCTGGGGAGCAGCGGCGGCCAGCTTAGTCAGGCCTGTACACTCCACCACCACCTGCAGACTTGCACAGACTTGCCTCAGCCCTCCCATGCAGTCCCCTGCAGGCCTGTGCCTGGGGCCCCTCACTCCTTCGCCCTGACTCAGGAAACAGTGTCGCCTCCACAGCTGCAGAGGTCCCTCACGGGACACCAGAAGGCAGGCACAGGGGCATGTCCCCATCTTAGCTCTGCCAAAAAACAGCCCCACCTCTCACTGTCTCAGTTACCCTAGGGAGGGCCTCTCACCTCTCTGTGCCTCAGTTTCTCTCCTGCATAGCCAAGATAATAACAAAGCTTCTCCAGAGGGTTGAGGATTAAATAAAGAAGCACAGCCATTAGCATGGGCTTGGGTAAGCACCGGACAAATGCCCCTGTGATCCCCCATTCAGAGAGAGCTCTCTTCAGAGAGTGGGCCTTTGATGACAGTGCTGGCCTGTCACCCCTTGTCTCATAGCGTTTCTAGGTCCCAGGGGTGGCATAGGATTTGCACTGGGTGCAGCCAGGTGACTAGGGGACGCCTGCTCTCCAGGAGCACTGACCTGGCTGTAGATCTGATCCATGCTCGGTCTGTCATCCGGGGCCTCCTCCCAGCACTGCCTCATCAGTTGGATGCACTCTGGAGGCCCGTGGTCCGGGGACACCATCGGCCGGCACAGCGGGGGTGGGGACATTACCTTCCTGATGATTTCTGCAATAGACACCACATGAGCCAGCCTGGCCTCGGATTCCAACAGGAAGGACGGGACAGGCCTGTGGCAGTGCAAGGACTGGGCCCCCAAGGGTGCCCTAGGCTCCCGCCTCCCATGCCCGGGCATCACTGCTTTCCTGTGTGTGGCTCAGACTGGGAGCTGGGAAGGCTGGGTTTTAATTGTGGATCAGCTGCCACTGCTCTACGTGATAGTGAAGACGGTGACTCTCTGAGCATCATTCCCCAACTATGAAATGAGTTTAATAAATGCCTTCTCAGGAGGGGGCCCAGGGAGGAGATGAAGATGCTGGGTGTCTGGCAATAAGCAGGCAGTATCCACCCTGAGGCTCCGAACCCACTGCCACCACTCTGTTGCCAGGGATCCCCTCCAGTGTGCTCGAATCTAGGCACTGGCTCTGCCCCCCTGATGGTACCAGTTTCCATGAATGTGAGGCAAGGGCTGCCTGCTTCGCATGGCCAGCCCCATCACAGTTCCCTCCCAAGATGACACCTGTCCTGAGTCTCTGCCCCCTCCACTGGTTAAGACCATCAGACTAAGCCAGAGTCAGGCGGGCCATGCCGTAGTCTGGCTTCGCCGCTTGCCAGCACTCGGCCTCAGCTTCCCAGCCTAACGACTGATGTCTCAGGCAGCTGTTAGAAAGCCTGGGGGTGGGGGGAGTTAAGGGATCCTAAAATCCATGGGGAGAAGGAGGGGCCAGGTACCAAGCTTGAGCTCTGGAGTCAGAGATCAGAATGGGACTTGCAGTTACCTAGTCAGAGCCTGTGCGAGTTCTGTCACCGCGTGGAGCCTCAGTTTCTTCCCCTGTAAAGGGGCAGTCAGCACGTACCCCACAGGATGGCTATGAGGCACAGCAGGCTAGTGTTCCTGGTCCTTTGTTGGTGTTCTTGCTGGGGACAGTGCATGTGTCCCCGTCTCATTTTACAGACAAGGAAACTGAGGCTCCGATGAAACAGGACACCCAGGAGGGGCCAGTGAAAAGAAGGCCCTAACGCTGGGTCTGATTTCCACCCTGCCTGCACCACTCTCTGCCCAGAGTTTCCCAGTCTGCAGGTGTCAGGCCCTGAGGCCTGCAGCACGGGGTCTGGGAAGCTGTGCTCACAGAGCATATGCACGTGGGACCGATAACACATCCTGCCCACACGTGCACATCTGCCTTCCGAAGTTCGCAGATGGCCTCGCATGGATAAAATATGCACACATCCATTTCAAAGTGTTGCTGATTTCAGAGCGGGTTCTGTCACTGGGTATTTCCTCAGGCAGCGGATATTAAAAGTCAAGTAGTAGCAGATGAGGCTCCAACTTTACTGACGCTACGATGGAGTCCTCATAGACAAACGTGCTGGGGACTGCTGCTCCGGGCCAGGCTGGGTCTTGCATTCCCTCGCCACGTCGAGCGCACTGAACTCCCTCGACGTGGCCCTGTGATTGAGTGGCCGTGCTGCTGGCTGCCAGACGAGGCTGTACGTCCAGCCCACCGGCCTCGCAGGGCTCTGGGAGGATGCTCCATCGATGATTCCGAGAAATATTAGGGAAGGGACACTGAGTATAGATCGGAGCATCTGCCCAAATCCTAGTTCACTGTGTCCCCGCTGAGAAGGGTCTTCTCTGAGCCTCGTTTAACTCATCTCTGCAAAGGGGGCAATACCCACCTCTCAGGGATGTCAAACAGCATGATGCGTATGGGTCTTAGAGAAACGTGAGAGTCAGGAGGGAGCCTGGGATTCCCCATGGGCACCCCTCAAGCCATCCAGGCAGATATTCAGGGAGCGCTCACTATGTGCCAGGTACTTTGTCCGAAACATTTCACTGAATTCTCACAGCTCCTCTGCAAGGTAGATGGTGTGGTCCTTATTGTACAGAAGAGGAAACTGAGGCTTGAGAGCTTAAAAGGGATGTACTTGAAGTCAGGAGCCGAGTTGCTGTAGACCTAGGCCTAGGCCGGTGTCCCTGTGAGCCTGTGCTCCTGACCCTGTCACCCCTGAGGCTGGAGAAGGCACACCCCAGGAAGCAGCAGGCTGTGGACTGACAGCCACATCCAAGGGTGACCAGAGAGTGTGGGCCAGGCCCTTGCACCCAAAACCCAGTGGAGGCTAGGCTCAGAGCCTTGCGCTGGAGGGAGGGCTTGCAGAGCCCCTCTGGCTGGTCCCGCCCTCTCTCAGGGGCAGATGTGCAGAAGGCACTGAGAGTGCTGAACGCATGGCCTCACAGAGCCCCCTCTCCTTCCCACTCCTCCGCCTCTGAAATCTGGGGCCTAGAATGCTCCGTGCTCACTGGACAGAGCTCAGGTGCAGAAGGCTGTAGATCACCTGTCAGAGGCGGAGGGGATGGGGTCACCCCTGCCACTGTCCTGCACTGTAGGCCGAGGTGCTGGGGACCTGTGGGGATGGGTCCCTGGGACTAGGCAGAGGTCGCATGGGGACACGTAGAAATTGGGTTCAGGGAGCCCAGACAGAAAACTCAGAGGGAGGCATGTTTCTGAAGGTTGGCCCTGGCACCGGGGTGACATGAGAGGACAAGTCAGTGGGCCAGGTGATGACAGGAAGGGGCGTGCGGTTATCCTACACCCCAAAATACGGGGAGAGAGATGTTCTTTTTCTTTTTACAACTAAAAATAAGTGTAAAAATTTTGCCAGAGGGCACACGTGCTTGCCCTGCCCCAAGGTGAAGAGGTAGGGTACTCTGAGGGGAAGCGTTGAGGATTGAGAAAGGACAAACAAAAGCTGGGTCAGGCAGACCAGGCATCGCTGCCGGGGGAACACCACGGCCCGAGCGTTCTGTGTCATCCTGTTACAGGGGAGGCAAAGCCGCGTGCTTCAGCGGCAGAGCACTTCGCGGATCGAAGCAAGCCTCTCCTGGCCTTCTCTGCGGATGCTCAGGCTTCTTCTAACCGTAAAGCCCAGCAGTAGATTCTGTCTTTGTTTAGTGCGTCCACAGGCCCTGTGGCAATAACACAAAGACTGTCTCTACTCTAAGGCGCTCCCCACGTGTGCTTGCCAGAGAGGCAGAGAAAGGGCAAGTGAGAAAGCACCTTCCATGGATCACACTGCAATCCCTTCTCCTCCATTTTGCTTGTTGGGATTTGGGGCACACACACGTACCTGACATGGATTTCAAACCACCGGGTCCAGAACTCAAACCATGCAGTTAGCCACGTGGAATCCAGTTGCCTTAACCACTGTGCCACCAGCTAGGCCCCCCCCCATAGATGCTCTTGAAGGAGCCCCAACCTCGCAGGTATTCAAGCCCCCCAACACCGAGCTGTCTGGCTACATTGATCCTGGGGCCTGGCATCTGGCACATTTGATATCGGATTCCCAATTGATAGATGAGAAAACCGAGGCGCAGAGAGGGTGACTTGGATCAAGTCATATGAAGTAAGCCCCGTAGCTGGGGTAGAGCCCAGGTCTGCATAGACAAACTGCACTGGCCTGGCGGGGGTGGGTGGTTAGGGGACAAGCACCGCCTACACGGCAGTGAAGTGGCTGGGGACTTTTCCCGAGAAAGCACTGTCTAGGCCCGGGGCTGCTCCGCTGTTACCCTGGCAGAACTGCTCAAGACCCCCTGCTGGAGTCAAGGGAGCCCAGTTCTCATGGTGACCGTTAGCGACGTGCAGCTGTGTGGTTACTTTCAGGCCCAGGTTTCCTGGTGGCTACAGAGCTCCCTAGCTATGGGGAGACCCCAGCCGGCGACAGGCCAAGGAACAGGCAGTCCCGGTACCTTCTGCTGACAGTGCCGAGGAGCAGTAGGGAGGGCCTCGAGTCAGCACCTCCTGCAGAATGATGCCGATGCTGAAGATGTCTCCTTTGAAGGTGCCCTGCCCGGGGGCCCCGGGGCCTCGGAGCAGTTCAGGAGCCGTCCATAGCAGTTCTGCAATCACAGGGCAGGCCATAACCTGTCACCTACTGGCCACACTGGGAGGACGCAGGGGCTTCCGTTCTCCCCGAGTCATAAGTGAGGAGTCCAAGGTTCGTTCAGCTCGAGTCACAGCCCAGAAGGCGCAGAGGGCCCCTACCCCTGCCCTGCTAGCTCTGGGTTTGAACGAGGCCTTGCACCTGCTGGCACCCCTGAACTGACCTTCCGGGGCTGGCCGGGGGTAGGCAGCACGCTGGGTGTCCAGGAGCTCTGCGTAGCCATGGTCAGTGACCTTCAGCACGAAGCGTCCATCCACTACGCAGTTCCGGGACTTGAGGCGGCCATGAGGGAAATGTCGATGGTGCAGATACCTCATGCCCTGGGGGGTGGGGGGCACATCGAGGGTCCATTAGGTCTATGTTAAATGAGAGAAACTCTCGTCCTACCAGAACTCCCATGAGCCCAGGAGCCCCTTTCTACCTCCCCCTCTTCCGCTTTGCCAGATGTTCCCCATTTAAAGTGGAAAGGGTACAGACACGGGAAATCAAAGCCTCTCGCCCCACCCCCTGCCCTCCTTGTGCCCCCCAGCTCCTACTCCAGGTGTGGAGGGTCCTTACTCGGATCAAGTCCAGCAGCAGTGAGGCCTTGAAGGTCCAGTCTAGCCTCAGGGCCTCATTCTGCAGCAAGTCCTCCAGGCTGCCCCGGGCACAGTGCTCCAGCACCAGAGCACTGATCCCTGGGGCCACAAAAAAACCCAGGCAGGTGGTGACGTTCTCATGCCGAAGTTCCCGCATCTGCGGAGACAAGGGCAATTTAGAAGCCCTCAGTGGCTCTTCCAAGGCTGGGCCAGTTACTGTCCATATCTCTCCCTCAGTACTTGGCACTCAGCATGGGACTGCACACAGAGAGCTCTCAGAGGTGTTGGATACATGGGCAGATGTTAGACAGACAGACAACTGGATCAGTGGGTACTCAGTAGATGAATGAAGGGTGGATGGGTAGATGAGTAGCTGGGTGGGTGCTGGGGTAGATGAGTAGCTGGGTGGGTGCTGGAAAGATGGTGGTGGGATGAGTAAGTGAACAAGTGGGTGGACAAGTGGATGGGTGGATAGTGGATGAATGGATGGATGGATGGTGGATGTGTAGTTGGATGGGTGGATAAAAGAGCCAATGAATGAACTTGTGAGTGGATACATCATGAATGAATAAAAGAAGGAGCTGCAGCCAACTCCACAGAACAGGGATCTACATCTGTTGCCTAAGTGATACCATGGGCCCAAAAGTTATACCTTCTTTCCCCCAAGACTAAGGGACTAAGGAGGTGGAAGAAGGGCAGAAGAGATCAAGCATTAAGCAGAACGCAGCCTCCCCTACCCAGTGGCTACCCAGCAATTAGAAACCCAAGCAGGGTCACTAGCATTTGCCAAGCAAGAACCTCTGTCTGACATGGCCCTCCTCGCAAAAACAGCTCAGGGGTCAACTGAGTGGAGGAAACTAGTAAACTCTCTCCTTAGAAGTTCATGAGCACATCAGCTTGTGTTATTAAGCATGGCCTCAGATCCTCTGACACTTCTGCCATCAAGAGGTGGGACTCTGTGCCCTCCCTTTCAATCTGAGCAGGCTCTGTGGCTAGTATGACCACCCAAATATGGTGGAAGGAGTCTTGTACATTTCTGGTTTGGGTCTTAAATTGGCAGATTCTTTTTGCTATCTCTAGGAGCACTGTCTGTTGGAAGAGCCACAGCAAGAAGTGCTTCTACACTGAGTCACCATGCTGGAGAAGACTTCACGTGGAGATGCTTGGTCTGAATACAGAGGGAGGCTAAGTCCAGTTGGACCTGGTCTTCTAACTGCCCTGCCAATGCAGAGCATGTGCGTGAAACCACAGCAGGCCCTCTGCACTGACGTCTGCAAACTTTCCTATCAAAGTCCAGATAGTACAAGCTCATGCCTTGCGGGTCATACAGTCTCTGTCACACCATGTGCCTCTGCCACTGTAGCATGAAAGCAGCCATAGAAGTACATGAAGGAATAGGTAGGACTGTGTTCCAATAAAACCTTATTTATTAAAATAGGCAGTGGACCTGATTTGGCCTGTGGATTATGGTTTGCCCCTCTGGCAGCCCATTTACCAGCTGCAGCTCACCGAGTAACCCCAACCAAGGCCAAGCAAACAGAAGAACTGCCCAGCTGAGCCCTGCCCAAATCTTTTACCCACAGAATTATAAGGTAGTATCAAATGATTTTAAGTCACTATACTTTGGGTAAGTTTTTAGACAGTGAGAGGTCACCAGGACAGAGTATTAAAGGCTCTGAGAAGTCTCATGGCTAAGCCAAGCAATTTCCAAACCTCCGTGACCACATTATGACATTTTCTTTTCAGAAACATCTCCTTAGGGGCTGGATAGTACCCACCGGTAAAATGCAGACCCACATGAGAAGCTGACCCACATGAGAAGGTTCTGGGTTCATATCTGAAGGCCTTCCTGAGTACACCAGGTGCACATGTGTTCGTGATCTGGGGCCGGCTGAGGCTAGGGTGAGTCATGTGCTAGGACCCTGTTGGGCGTGTTTTCTCTCTCGCTCTCTTTCTTTCTTTCTGTCTGTCTTGCTCTTGAAAGACAAATACATTTTTAAAAGAGAAAGAAATATTGGGACCAGCAGTTGGCGTAATCGCTATGTGACTAGATTCCCAGGTAGTCAACCGTAGTTTGAGTCCCGGACCCAGTAGCTTAAACTCACACCGGGCACGTGTGCGTGTGTGCCCAAGATCCCAAGAGGAGAATGGAGGAGAAGGGATTGTGGCGTGGCCATCCCCTCCCCGGGGGGGGGGGGGTGATTTCTCACTTTCTGTCTCTCTGTCTCTCTCTGTCTTTCTGGCAAGCAGAACCTCTTCAAAAGAAAGAAAAAAAGAAACATCTTCTCAAAGTGATTGCAAGATGACCTCTGAGAAATACTTAACTTAGCCTCCAGTCACTTTCTCCAAACGATTTCAGACAGTGGTGGTGTTAGAGATAAAGCAGTTTGCCATTAGTGAGGGCACGCTACTCACCAGGACTGGTCCTAGCTTATTTCCTATATTCCCTGTACTCCCAGAATTCCCCTGGGGAAGGTGTCATCAGTTCCATTCTGTGAGAAAGCGAAGTGCTCCATGGAGGCGGGATGATCTGGGGTCTTCCTCACTCAGGGCCTGTGCTTGGTCCTCCACCTCGCAGTGCTTGCTCCCAGGATGGTGACCATCTGGAGTGAACGTGCTCATGGGGCTAGCAGAGACAGTGACTGGCAGCTCCCCGAGGGAGGGCACTCTCCTCTCTCCACTGTGTATGCCAAAGCCTAGAACCCTGCCTGGCACGTGTGTGGTGCTCAGTGAACAGTGAATGAATGAGTGGATGGCTGGATGGGCGGGGGGAGGCGTGGGAGGAGGGCCTGTGATAGTGTTCGTTCTGACATGTGGTGGCCCTGCAGGAGGGGACTGTGCTCCCGCAGGGAGGTTGTGGCGATGATCATATTGGGGTGGTGACCCGGCTTCAGGGATGCTGGTGTGCAGTGGTGGCAGTGATGTATGTATAGTTGTCACCAAGACCTCGTCAAGGGGCAGGGATGACTTCCTCTAGGTGGCCAGAAGTGTCCACGTCAAGTAGGGACCAATTGGACCTGTGAGGGTCCCCTGAGCCGGCCTGTCCTCACCAGCCCGCCCCTCACCCTCCGCCATCTTACCTTTCTCAGGAGGCTGAGGCAACCCGGACGCAGCTCGGGGGCTGTGCCTGCTTCAAACTTCTTCAGCCACACCCAGTCTCCCTGTGCAAGGGGCCACAGCAAGAGTTCAACTGGGCTGCCCCGTCACCGCGGGCCTGGGGATCCCTGCACCTCTCGGCCTCAGCGTCTCCCCATACATGTCCCACAAGCAGTGGAGTCTGACAAGCCGCGTCCTGACTTCCCACTTTCTTGCCCTGCGACCTGGAGGGCCTCAGTCCTCCCAGCCTCGTGCTGCAGGGCTCATGGATGGAGGTAGAAAGCATGTGTGTCCCCCTTGAGGCAGCTCCACCCTGCAGGCCTCATGTACTCAGGACACTCAAACCCTGGGTCCGGGGTGTCTGGATCTGGGACTCTGTCCTTGCCTTGGCCGGCCCTAAGCCTTCTCTCCCCTCGTCACTGACGGGGCCTCACCTGAAGCCCACAGCTGCCTCACTGAAGCAGACATAACACGCTTCATACAGCATTAAAGCCTCCTTCCAGCAGGAAAGATAACAGAGGCTCCCCATGGACAAGGCAGGAAAGGGCAAGTCTCTCCTGCTCCTGCCTATGGAAACGATTAGACTGGGCCATTGACCGCGAGAGCATGCCGTGAGACTCCCAGCCCCAATGGGCTGCTGCAGTTGGACAGTGGCTGCTGCGACATCCCAGTGTCCTTGGCACTTTGGCGTCTTACTGGTCTGACCTCTGATTTCCAGCCTCGCCATCTGTTGGTGGCTTAGCCAGCACTGCCCCCATGTCAGGGCTGACGGAGCCACAGCCCACCTTGCCTAAGCAGGGAAGACGGTGCCAAGGCTGGCCTGAGTGCTGAGAGGCCCTGGGTGGACCAGGCCGGCAGCATCTGGCTGAGTGGTCAGGAACTGGCTGCTCCCCAAGGTCAGATCATGAACCACGTGGGCTGGGGGGTGGGGTCCTGCATCCCACTACTGGCCCTGCTGCTGACTTGCTGAGTGACCTGGGAGTCGCTGCTCCTGTCCGGCCTCAGTTTCCCATTCCACAGCAGGACTGGGGCATACACGGGCCTAAGCGGCTGTGGGTTCCCTGGCTTCTCTCAAACCTACTACAGCTCCCCAAGCCTGGCACAGGGGTGGCAGAGGTCCTCACCTGGTATAGGGCCACGCTGGTGGGCTCCTGGGGGGCTGGCAGGCTCCTGGCTGAGCCCTGGGCCCCTGACCTCAGGCTCCCAACATCGCCCACACTTCTGGACTCACTTGCACTATCCACGTGAAGCCTCTGGAGGGGGCAGGTGGGGTCAGGAGCCTGGGCTGGGTCTGTCTGCCACCTTCCCTCCCAGCCCAGCCCTGCCCACCCACCCGCCTACTGGGGGGCTGATGGAGGAAGGTGAGTTCCTGGGCTGTGAGCAGGATCCGGCGGGGGCCCCTCACCAACTGCAGCTGCTGGACACCCAACCTGGAGGCAAGAGAGGTGAGGCCTTGTGGGGAGTGCCAACGCCACCCCCACACACACCTTGGTCTTACACATGCCCTGACTCCGAGCCCTCCCAGCTCTCCCCAGTTCCACATCGGTCTCCCCACCAGTCCCAGATGGGCTGGGAAGGCCCTGGTACTCTCTCCATGGAATCCCTTGGCCTCCAGTTCAGGCCTGGGACTCCTCTCCCCTCTGACACACCTGTTGGTTCCCAGCCTCAGTGATCCCTAGAGGCCTGTAGGCATTAGGGGCAGCCAGAGCTTGGGGTGAGGCTGGTGGAAGGCTGCCCTTGTGGTCTGGATTTGGGAACACAGGAATTCAAGGAAAATGGTTTTCTAATCTGAGGGCCCTGAAGATCACCCTGGCTGGTCCCCTCTTGTACACAGGGGAGCCTGAAGACCGAGGGAGAGCTTCTTGTGTGAGGTCATGGGCTTCGTCTTCGTCTCACATGGCCTCCTCAGGGGCAACTGGGTCCTTGAAAGTCCAACTGAGGCTACAGACTGGACAGGAGTGCAGGGGCCTTGAAATCCTGGGAGACAGGCTGAGAAAGCCCCTGCAGATTTCTAGAGCCATCTGTGCATGCAGGAGGAGATCTGGGGTGGGGGTGGGCCCACAAAGGGCCAGAGCCTGGCTCGGGGGCAGACAGACTCACCTGATGAGGCAAGTGAGGGCCCCCCCAGCCAGCAGCAGGACACAGGCCAACACTAGAGTGAAGAGGCCGCCCAGGGTCTGTGTGTCTGTAGGAGGAAGCAGAGGCAGGTGCTGGGGTGGTCACAGCAATGACCATATAGGACAGCCCCCCACAGGGACATGAACAAGCCTGGCCAAGCCTAAGCTGCCCACCAACATTGGCAAGTGTGTTAGGGGATAGGGGTGCACATGTTCATACATGTGTGTGTCTTTCTATACACCTATGCATGCGTGTGTCCGCATGATTTCATCAGGACTGATCCTCTGGATGGATGGAGGATAAGAATCAGAATGGCAGGGTCTCCTGGTCTCTCTCTCTCACTCCCCATCCTCATGTGGGCCTGGGGAAAAGGAATCTTGCACATTAAGTCACTGGACTTGGGCTCCTCCTGAACTCAGCCACCACCTTCCTATGTGACCTTGGGTTAGTCACCAAGCCTTTCTGAACTTCAGTCCTCCACGGGTGCCCACCGAGGCTAATGGCCTAGTGTCAAGGCTGTGGAGCAGTTAGGAAATCAGAGATGGGGATGTGCCTGTAAAGGCTCTAGCCCTGCTCATCTCGGGGTGGAGGGGGCTGCTAGTCTTCCCTGTTGCTTCCTAAATGTTGGATCGGTCATCTCAATGGAGTGCCAAGCTCTTTCTTTGCACCTGCTCCTACCCCTCACATAAGTCTGCCCACATGGAGAGCTTTGATAAAGGACGGAGGGCTGGCTGGATGCACGGGTGGTGAGTGGGTAGATTGTGGAGGATGAATGAGTGGATAGATGGACTAATGGATGGGTGGGTGAGTAGGCAGGCAGATGGACGAGTGGATAGAAGGATGGGTGGATGGGTCAGTGCGCAGATGGGTGGCTAGATGAATGCATGAGTAGTGGATAGAAAGATGAATAGTTGGGTAGGTGACCAGGTAGGGGTGGAGAGATGGATGAGTGGGTGAGTAGGCAGGCAGATGGACGATTGAATAGAAGGATGGGTGGATGGGTCAGTGCGCAGATGGGTGGCTAGATGAATGGATGAGTGGTGGATAGAAAGATGAATAGATGGGTAGATGACCAGGTAGAGGGGTGGAGAGATGGATGGGTGGATGGAAAGGTGGAAAATTGGACAAATGGATGCATAGATGGATCAGTGGGTAGGTGAACAGATGGATGGGTGGGTGGACGGGTACGTGAGAGTGGTTATATGTGCGAGTATGAACAGGTGGATGGATAGGCAGGTGGACGGATAGGTGAGGAGTAGGTGGATGGTGGACGTGTGAATAGATGGACAGCTGGGCAGGAGGGCGGATAAAGAGTTACCTTTCATGCATAGCATATTGGGGTCGAACCAACAGCTGGAGTCACGAGCTGGAGGGGCCCCTCCTGGAAAGTGAATGGCCCTGCCCAAGGGCTGCACTTGCCACGTGCCTGTGTCCAAGATGTGGGTGGGGACCAGCTGGCTTCCTTGACCATCCGTGTCCAGAATGACATACTGGGCCAGCCTCCGGCCCTTCACATCCGTCCGGATCCTCTGGCTATAGCCAGCTACATCCAGGGTGCCCATGTGGTCCCCTAGGTGGGCCCCTGAGAGCCCATCCCCATGGCTCTCAGAGTGGTTCAATGCATGGGCCAACAGGACAACAGCATCATAGACGGTTCCAAAGAGTGGGGACACCTGGGAAGAGAGAATTCCTCAACCCCATGAGCCCAGGGCACAGGCACCCAGTCCTGGCTCTCCCGCCAGCAGCAACTGTTTGGGTCTATGCTCCGTCCAACAGTCCTCCGCTTGGTCCCGTCCCTCTATTATCCTGGCTCTGCCTCCGCAGCCTCACAGGCCTCCAGCCACCACCACCACCATAGCCACAGTCAACGCTAATATCTCGCGGGCACATGGGACCTTCGCAATACACCCACAGCAGAACTCCCGGCTCTGCCACCTGCATTGTCCTGCTAATATCTCGCGGGCAGATGGGACCTTTGCAATACACCCACAACAGAACTCCCGGCTCTGCCACCTGCATTGTCCCTGTTTTTAGGACATGAACTCCCATCTGTCCAGTTTCTCAATTTCACAGCAGAGGCCTGATCCCTGACCTCTTTCTTTCTTTCCTCTAGTTCAGCATCGAGTCTTTCTGTTTTATTTCAGAACTTATCCTCGACCTGGCTGACCCCTCACCAGCTCTGCTCCTGCCCCTGGGGTCGAGCCTGTCACCGCTCACAGGACCACGCAGGGACCTCCTTGCTTCATCTGGCCTCTTCAGGTCACTCCCCAGGAAGCAACCAAAGAGATTTTGTAGAAACCAGAAAACAAATCATTTCTTACTTAAAACCCACAATGGTTTCCCACTTTATTAGCAATAGTAAGTTCGGAGTCTTCACCTCGGCCTGAGTGCCCACACGCTCAGTGCCAAACTCCTCTGGGGCCCCGAACCCACCACCCAGGACAGTTTAGCCGCCCACACTCCCTCCTGCCTGGCCTGATGGCACTGGCCACCTCAGAGCCTTTGCTCTTGCTGCTCCTTGCCTGGTGGCTCTTCATCCTGATGCTTCCTCATCATTCAGAGCTCAGCTCAAGTGACACCTCCATGGAGTGGGTCTCTGCCGTCCTGTCTCTACTGCCCGCTGCTCCACATGGGCACCCTGGATGCCACTGGCCATAGCCAGAGGATGTGGATGCTCGGCTTCTTGGGGGCTCCATCGCTATTCAGATTTGGTGACCTTGTTACTGTCCATCTCCCCTCACAGATGGAGGCCAGGTCTACCTTACATGTCACTGTGTCCCTGATGCCTGGCATGGTGACCTATGAGAAGGACTTAACCTACATTTGCCAGCTGAGATTGAATGACCCTTGGCCACCACATCCCTGTCACCTCCTCTAGACACTGTCCTCTTATCCCCGAGAAGCAGACATCCCACGGCCAACTCCACATGGCTGAGTCTTCTGGGTCGAAATCATGGCTGCCACACGTCCTCACTAACACCGTTTAGATGCCCGGCGAGACTTTGGAACCTTCCCCTGTACCCGGCTGGCCCTCAGTCTCCCAGCACTCCTCCGCGGACCTGCACGTGTGTTAGAGAGAAGGGGAGCCAGGAGAGGAAGAACGCATTCAGAGAAAGAATGGCTGGACCGGAAATGGAGCCGCCGGAACTGAGAGCCAGAGACAGGAAAGCAGACCCAGGGGCCCAGGAGGAGGGCCAGCACAGCAGGCCAGAGGGAGTCATTGAGTGAAGGGAGGGGATGAGACCGTGACACACACAGCGATGAGAGGGGAGCAGCTACACCAGGGGCTGGCAGATAGACACTGTCAAAAGGGACAGGTCAAGTGCCCAAGATGAGGTGCCAACCAGGCCTGGGGTGAGTGAGGGGCGCATGTGCACTGTCCCCACACTCCAGGTACATGGGGATCTGCATGGACTTACCTGCCCTGGCTTCAGGCCGGTAGCGGTGAGGGCCTCATCCACAGGGCTGGACCCCAGGCTGATGGTGAGCACTGCATCGTAGGCCTCCCGCAGGGGCCCACTGTCGTCCAGGACCCGGTAGGAGTGGTTGTGGTGGGGGAGGGCGAAGAGGAGCGTGTCATAGGGCAGGAAGACCAGCCTCCCGTCCGCCAGGCCCTCAGCCCAAGCCTGGCTCAGCAGGGCCGTCTGCTCCGGACCCCCCAGCAATGCTGAGTGCATACACAGCACCACGACTGGGGCAGAGAGGATTGTTGCTGTCACATGCCCTGTCTGGCCGTGGCCTTTCCTGAAGCCCAGAACTCTCAGGCCCAAACTCCCCTCTCCACCGCCACCCCAACCACCTCCCCACCAGTCTAAAGGTAGAATTTCCCCTTATTCTGCTCCCCCGTAACAGTAACGGCTAAGACCACCCAATCTGGGTTGGACCTGGTGCAAAGTATCCCTTCCACTGAGGATAGATCTCTACCAGTATGGACCTCCCAGACTTCCGCTCACCCTCCCAGTACCTGGGACCAGCTCCCCACCCTGCCCTACCCCATTGTCCTGACAACTACTAATAGGTGCTGACAGCTTTCTAAGCGTTGTCCTGAAGTATGTATACAAACTCTCAGTCATCCCACATACGACAGCACTAAGAAGCATGCGTATCATGGTCTCCACGTTTTAGATGAGGAAACCGAGCCACGGAAAACTTAAGGAGTGGTTTCAGAATACGTGAACACCAAGGGTACAGCCAGGATTTGAACCCAGGCAGCCTGACTCCCAGCTTACACTCCTTTCTTTAAAGATTTTTTTTAATTGAGAAAATTCCCACACCATAGAATTCACTCTTAAAAAAGGGATCCAATTTAGAAAGTATACAATTCAGTGGCTTTAGTATGTTTGCAAGATTGTACAATCACCAATATTTAATTCTAGAACATTTTCGTCATCCACAAAGGAGATTCTGTACCCACTTCCCAAGGTTCTCTCCTGACCTACTTTCTGCCTCTGTGGATTTGCCTATCCAGGACATTTCATAGAAATGGAATCACACAGTATGTGGGCTTTTGTGCTTGGCTCCTTTTACTTAACGTCTCCTTGTAGCACGTGTCAGCACTTTCCTTTTTGTGGCTGTATAATATTCCACTGTAATAAACATTCTGTTTATCCATTCACCATCAACTTGCAACTCTAGCTGTGGCTCTGGAGGCATGCTCAAGGTCTAAAGAGACATAGATATGATCACCTTCGCCTTAGTAAAGAACCCTTGCTAATAAGGTGGCCAACTTCCAGGGACCAGGACAAGGGAGCCTCTGCCCACATTAAAGGTCTGTGCTGGGTTTCTGCTGCATCTTTTCTCTCTCCCTGACTTGGGTCACTGACAAGGGCGGCAACTTCAGCCAACAAAGGGTTGCCACTTGCTTTGACTGTCACCAGGTTTCTACTGCAATCTCTTTCTCCAAGAAGATGAGGACACTTAGGAAGGCTGGGGGCCTCCTTGCTTGGGTCTGAGGGCCTCTTATCACATGGAGGTGGGCCTGAGCCCTGGCTTCAGCTGAGCACTGCATGCCATGCTGTGTGAGCTGTGAGCCAAAGACCATCCCATCGAGTCCCTTGGGAGTGGGGAGCCCCTCGGAGAGAGCCTCACCCGGATGTCAGGATCAGAACCAGGGCCTGTACCCACCCGCTCTGTCCAGGCTTCTGACCAAACGTCTTTCCTCTAGCAGAGGGAAGCGCCATTCTGTATTTGACCACCAGGGGGAGCCATTTCTCTGAACTCGGAGCCGGGAGGACCACTTAGAGGGAAAAGCCGGCTGGACTGGCTGTTCTGAGCCCTTTGTCCGCAGCAGTCCACCTCATCTTCCCAGCCCTATCGAGTAGGGCCCTAGATTAGCCTCAGGGCATTGCTGAGAAACTACTTGCCTGAGGTAACACAGCTGGAGGGGCTGGCAGTGGGACCCCGGAACTCCAACTCCAGAGTACATGACCCTAACCACTCTCCCTCCTGGCTCCTGGATGCCAGCACGCGGCTGGAACACAGTTCCCTGCAACAGGGATGGACAAGGCGACTGATGGTTTCTCTGCCTATTGCCATCAGGCCCCAGCCACATAGAACTGAACCATCCCCTGTCCTGGTCCTGTTGACACCCTGCCTCTGCTCCTTCGAACTGGCCGGCTCCCTGTCCGGCATGACGTTCCCCCTCACCTATACTCACACTGATTTCTCATTGTCAGCCCTGCCCTAATGTCACCTCCTCCCAAAACCCTCTCTGGCCCCGAGAAGAACAGCTCCCAGCCCCTGGCGTCTCCATGCCGCACATGCCCACACAGCTGTCTCCCTCAGACTCGGGCTCCTGACTGGGGCCTAGCCGGCTCCCCATCAACCCCCAAGGTCAGCCAGGACCAGGTGGACCATGGCCCCCTGTAAAAGTGCATTTTACCTTGGTATACGCCACTCACCAAACTGAGTATGTGAAACTTGAATACAGAGAGAAGGAATTTCCAGAACTATACCTATCCTTGCTATCTGCAATGCACTCTTTTTATTTAAAAAAAAAAAAAAGAATTATTGGGACAGCAGGAGGCATGGTGGTTAAGGGCGCTGGACTCCCACATGGCCGACCACGGTTCAAGTCCTAGACCTGGTGGCTTGCTTTCTCATGCTCTCCTCTCTGTCTCTCTCTCTGTCTCTCACACTATCACTCTCTGGTCAAATTAAAGTAAATAAATGGGTAAATAAAGTTAAATAAAATAATTCTTAAAAAAGAAATGTATTTTTAAAAGAATTATTTATTTAATTTTATCTATCATTATTATTACTATTTTAGTTTTCTGAAAGGCATGTGTGCTTACCAGAGAAGAGAAATGGAAAGTGAGAAAGCAAGCCACCAGGTCTGGGACTCGAACTGCAGTCATCTGTGTGGGAGTCCAGCACCTTAACTTCCACACCACCTGCTGGCCCCTGCAGTTCACTCTTACATGTACTATGTTTACTCCATTCTATTTCATTTTACTGAGCTCTATTCTTTTCTACCATTTTCTACTCTACTGTTTTTATAAGATAGTCTTCATTCATTAAATTGATTTCTTCTTTTTAATCACCTGAGGGCGCTTGTGTTTGCCAGAGAGAGTCAGAGAGACTGGGAAAGAAGGAGAGTCAGAGAGACTGGGAAAGAAGGAGAGGGGGAAACATCCCCCATTGCGATATAGTCATTCCACACTCCCTTCTCCTCCGTTTCACCATCTTGCGGGGTCTGGGGTATGTACACGGATGTGTCTGGCGTGTTTCTCAAGACACCATGTCTGCGATTTGAACTGTGGTCGGACATGTGGGATCTGGATCCCGTAACCACTAGGCTACAGGCTAACCTACATTAACTTCCCGACTGTAAAATCCACTCTCCAGAGGCCACCTATCCCCCTGCACCATGACTTTCTCTGGCAAACTACGTCCTTAAGGACCAGTCAGCGTCACCTCCTCTAAGAAGCCTCCTTGGATCCCCCAGGGCCCAGCCCTGTGCCTCCTCTGACTCTGCAACCTCTGCTCCTGGCATGGGCCTGGCCATCACACAGTCGCCCCCTGGAGCCCAGTCACCACTGTCCTGTTCACTGCTGTCACTCAGCACCTGGCACAACAGAGGGCTGGGGGACAGGATCGGTGAATCCATAAAGCTTGCAGCTCTAACCCACGAAACTGAGAACAGCTCCGGCTCCTGTCCTGGGTTCAAGTGGCTCTGCCCAGCCCCTGGCGTCTCCATGCCGCACATGCCCACACAGCTGTCTCCCTCAGACTCGGGCTCCTGACTGGGGCCTAGCCGGCTCCCCATCAACCCCCAAGGTCAGCCAGGACCAGGTGGACCATGGCCCCCTGTAAAAGTGCATTTTACCTTGGTATACGCCACTCACCAAACTGAGTATGTGAAACTTGAATACAGAGAGAAGGAATTTCCAGAACTATACCTATCCTTGCTATCTGCAATGCACTCTTTTTATTTAAAAAAAAAAAAAAAAAGAATTATTGGGACAGCAGGAGGCATGGTGGTTAAGGGCGCTGGACTCCCACATGGCCGACCACGGTTCAAGTCCTAGACCTGGTGGCTTCAAATTCCTCTCTGTCTCTCTCTCTGTCTCTCACACTATCACTCTCTGGTCAAATTAAAGTAAATAAATGGGTAAATAAAGTTAAATAAAATAATTCTTAAAAAAGAAATGTATTTTTAAAAGAATTATTTATTTAATTTTATCTATCATTATTATTACTATTTTAGTTTTCTGAAAGGCATGTGTGCTTACCAGAGAAGAGAAATGGAAAGTGAGAAAGCAAGCCACCAGGTCTGGGACTCGAACTGCAGTCATCTGTGTGGGAGTCCAGCACCTTAACTTCCACACCACCTGCTGGCCCCTGCAGTTCACTCTTACATGTACTATGTTTACTCCATTCTATTTCATTTTACTGAGCTCTATTCTTTTCTACCATTTTCTACTCTACTGTTTTTATAAGATAGTCTTCATTCATTAAATTGATTTCTTCTTTTTAATCACCTGAGGGCGCTTGTGTTTGCCAGAGAGAGTCAGAGAGACTGGGAAAGAAGGAGAGTCAGAGAGACTGGGAAAGAAGGAGAGGGGGAAACATCCCCCATTGCGATATAGTCATTCCACACTCCCTTCTCCTCCGTTTCACCATCTTGCGGGGTCTGGGGTATGTACACGGATGTGTCTGGCGTGTTTCTCAAGACACCATGTCTGCGATTTGAACTGTGGTCGGACATGTGGGATCTGGATCCCGTAACCACTAGGCTACAGGCTAACCTACATTAACTTCCCGACTGTAAAATCCACTCTCCAGAGGCCACCTATCCCCCTGCACCATGACTTTCTCTGGCAAACTACGTCCTTAAGGACCAGTCAGCGTCACCTCCTCTAAGAAGCCTCCTTGGATCCCCCAGGGCCCAGCCCTGTGCCTCCTCTGACTCTGCAACCTCTGCTCCTGGCATGGGCCTGGCCATCACACAGTCGCCCCCTGGAGCCCAGTCACCACTGTCCTGTTCACTGCTGTCACTCAGCACCTGGCACAACAGAGGGCTGGGGGACAGGATCGGTGAATCCATAAAGCTTGCAGCTCTAACCCACGAAACTGAGAACAGCTCCGGCTCCTGTCCTGGGTTCAAGTGGCTCTGCTCCCATTTTTCCTGTTTTAGCGGGCAGGAGCCAGGACCGCTTTGCTCCTGCTCCATAACTGACGCTCAATTCGGAGCACTAGCTCCACTGCTCTTGCTGGCCAGCTGTGTGACCTGGGCAATGTCTTACCTCCTCTGAGCTGCAAACTGGAATTCAGTAGGACCAGCTCACAGGGCCGTTGTCGAGAGCTTGGCCCCGTGTCTGACGTGGAGGAAGCCTCCCATCAGTGGCCCTGTGGTGTCCCAGCCACCTGCAGCAGGAAGGAGCTGAGAACACTTACCTTTCAGGCCGTCCACGCTGCAGAGCTGCTTCAGGACCTCCGTGGCCCCCTGCTTCCCAGGCCCCAGGGAGGTCACCAGCCCCACGGGCAGCCCATGTGTCCTGAAAGTCATGGCCAGCTGCTGGGCCGTGGCCACCCAGATGTCCTGGTGAGAGGACACAATGGCTGAGCGAGCCCAGCCAAAGTGCTTCATAACAGCCAGCAGCACGTGAGCAGCGGAAGGCAAGGTGGGCGCCAGCTCCCCTCCTCCCTCTGTGGCCCCGCATGCCCAGGAGAACAAGGTCTTGCCCCAGCCTTGGGCCAGCAGGGCTGCCGCAGGGCAGTAACCAGGATTGACAGGGCCCACAAAGGCAGCTACAGTGTTCTTGTGGGCCAGAAATGTGGCCAGGGCACGAGGAGTGTCACAGCCTGTAGGGAGGACCACGGACGCCAGCCAGGAGCCTGGCAACAGTGTGGGGTCCTGATTGGCTCTGTCCACAGCCAGCTGGGCAGCCACTCTCGGGTGGGCCTGAGCAAAGAGGGGGTCGCAGTCCCAGGGACCCAGCACCCCCAGGGTGAACGTCCCTGTCCCCCAGACCAGGTGGGGGAGAAAGCCAGCCCATAAGAAGGCAGGCCAGAGCATCCCAGAGAGAAGGGGCAGAGAGGCTCTCCTCGGATGGCCGGCAGTGCGTTCCCACAGGCCCCGGCAGGGCAGGCGGGACTTCCTGTGTGGCAGCATCTGGTCATGGCCTTCGGAGCACAAGCCCCTCTGCAGTCCTGGGGAAGGGGAATGAGGACAAAGTTTGTGCTCTAGTATTTCTGCCAGGACTTCCGGCCTGACTGTAAGTCTGGCAACCCCTCCCAGAACCCCATGTCTTTATGGCACATGGAGGGACTTGGACCCAGAATGTCCAAGGACCTCAGCTTCGGGGCTCAACTTCCTCCCCAGGACTATTTCACAGTCTGTGATACTCCCGCACTGTCCTGGGCTGCAGCTTAACTGCCCCGGGGGCTTTGGAGTCAGAGCTGGCCAGATCCGGCCCCCTCTGCGTGGTCGTGTGACCTGGACTGACCTCTGAAGGTTCATCCACCTCTGTGAGATGTGGAAAAGCCCACTTTACTGAGTTGTCATGATGACTAAGTGCCATCATGGGGCACAGGTAACAGTCCCGAGTACTTAGGTGTTCAATAAATATGACTTTTTTTTTACTTTGCTAGAGAGTGCATGCACTCACCAGAGAAAGAGAGACATTACATGAGAGAGGGAGAGGGGCCGGCAAGTGGTGTGGTGGTTAAAGGTGCTGCATTCCCACATAGCTGACTGTGGTTCGAGTCCCGGACCTGACAGCTTGCTTTCTCACTTTCTCTCTCTGTCCCTCTCTGGTCAAATTGAAACAAACAAATGAATAAATAAATAAAGTTAAATGGGATAATTCTTAAAAACAACAACAACAACAAAAAAAAAACAAGAGAGAAAGTACGCACCACCCCCCCACACCCCCCCTGGAGTGTGACCACACTGCAATCCCTTTTCCTCCATCTCTCATCCTGTTGGGATTTTGGACACGCACCAACATACACCTGGCAAGTTTTTCAAGCCACCAAGGCAGAGAGCTGAGCCATGTTGGGTGTGAGGGATCCAGGCCCCTTAACCGCTAGGCTATGGGCCCAGCCCTCCATCTGCCACTGTCATTTCTTCCTTTGCTCCTCCTCCAAGGTGGCCAAGTTCTCTTGATGCCCCTCGGAGCCTCCCCTGGCTCTTCTCCAAGCCCAGTGCCATTCCACAGCACCCGACTCCAGGACTCAGCAGGCCCTAGCAGCTTACACACTGACCATGGTGGCGGCTCCTCCACTGGGTGTGCTTGGGGGTGTAGCTGGAGGGCCTGCGATGCACGTGCACGGCCCATCTGATCCCCCTCACAGACCTGCTCCAACAGGTCTTTCTACCCCTGTTGTGCAGATGAGGGAAGCCGGCATGGAGGGAGTAGATAGAGCTTGACCCACGTCTGTGCACCAACTGCCTTTCCCCGCTTCCTCTGCTGTTCCAGGCTGGGCGCCATTACTGAGGCCGGGGATCTCCTGCCCAGCCTCTGCCAGTGTCCCGCTCACGGCCGTTCTCTCCACAGCACTCAGCTGTCTTTCTCCCCTCACCGTTTATGTGACCCATAGGCTGCCACCGTGCACCCTAGGGAGGAGCAGGGACAGTCCCGCCTCTAAGAAACTGCCAGGCTGGAAGGGCAGCAGGTCCAGCCAAGAGCAGAGCTGACTGTGGTGCAGGCAGAAGGGCCAGCAGGGCTTTGTGGAGGGCTTCCCCGAGGAAGCAGAGCTAGATCCAGCCCTGTACTCAGAAGCGTGGATCAGGACAGTGGAGGGTGCCCTCCGCACAAACATCAGAGCAGAGGAGAAGGGTCTTGCAATCATGCAGAGGAACAAACCCTGTTGTTGCTCATTAGCCCCGAAACTTGGGCAAGCTGTCTAGCCTCTCTGAGCTTCAGTTTCCTCGCCTGTAACAAGGAGAAACGCGCTGCTAGGGCAGAGCTGTGAGGACTGTAGTAAAATGCGTGGCGTCTATCGATGTGATGTGGGTACGTACGCACTTACTACTAGACGAGTTCCTCACCACCATCATCAACATCTTTAGATTATTGCGAGGAGTCAGGTGTACTGGGGATGAGGGGAGCTGGGCAGGGAGGTGCCCTGAATTTCAGCTCCCATCTGCCCCACCCCACTCTGGGCCCCGGCCTCCAGGTCTCTAAAAGGAGCCAGTCTGTCGAGTGGACCAACTCTGGGCCGCACTGGCCGTAATGCTTTGGTTCTCCTAGCCCAGGCCTTGGTGAACCAGGAGGGCTGTTCTCCCGCCAACCTCCAAAGGGCCCTTGGGGCCCTTCGTCTCCTGCTGTGATGCTCAGAGTGGTCTCCTAGCAGCAGGGATGAGTTTCACCCCACCCCTCGGGATGCGCCGCTCAGAGCAGCGGGGGGAGCCTGTCTGCACAGAGAGCTGACCTCTGCCAGTGGGGACGGCAGCGGGTGCTGCTGATGGCAGAGATGGCAGCTGCGCCTCTGGTAGTTATCGTTATGAGTATTACTGCTGCCAGGTTTTCTATATTCTGCCACTTCTATTTTTAAAAGAATTATTTATTAAAATTTATTTTTTTATTATTATTTTAAAATTTTCTATGGGGCACATGCACTCACTAGAGAGAGAGTGGGGTGGGGGGCGGGGGGGGTGAGAAAGCAAGCCGCCAGGTCCAGGACTCAAACTATGATCGGTCATGTGGGAGTCCAATGCCCTAATCACCATGCCACCTATTGGCCCCATCCTGCCATTTCTATTGTAGTCAGGTTTTTTGTTTGTTTGTTTGTTTGTTTTTTTAAAGGTTTTTGCTATAAGGCACATGCACTCGCCAGAAAGACATAGAGACAGAAAATGAGAAATCACCCCCCAGAGGGATGGCCACGCCACAATCCCTTCTCCTCCATTCTCCTCTCGGGATCCTGGGCAAGCACGACCAGCTGTCTAGCATGAGTTTAGGCCACTGGGTCCGGGACTCGAATCGTGATCAACTACATGGGAGTCCAGTGACATAGCCATTATGCCATCTGCTGGTGCCTATAGTCAGTTTTTTAAACTGCCAGAGAGCACATGTTCTCACCAGAGAGAGTCAGACAGAGAGAGAGGGAGAAAGCACCACCCGTGGAGCATGGCCACACAGCAATCCATTCTCTTCCATCTCTCCCTCCGGTTAGGGCTCTAGGCACGCACACGCACACACACACATGCACACACACAAAGACTATTCTCAAGCAGCCAGGGCTGGGGTTCAAACCATGGTCAACCACGTGGGATCCAGCTCTCCTAACCACTAAGCTCCAGGACTGGCCCCTGCTACTTATACTTTCAGAAGCATCTCTGAGGTTGGCGCTTTGCCTGGGCCTTCCAGATGCCCCAAGAACATTACTACCACCTTTCCTGGGGGAGGAAACTGTGAATTTCAGCGTGACAGTGACTTGTGCAAAGTCTCACCAAAAGTTAGGGATGCACTGGGACTCGAGCTTGGTTCTCCCCTCCCTGCCAAGTACAAAACTCCCCTCAGTGCCATCTGGAACATCAGCACTGAAGGATCTTGGAGACAGGAACACCTGAACCAATTCCTCTGTGTACAGATGGGAAAGGGAGGCACAGAAAGGAGGATGGGCTCCCCTGCAACCCACACACAGCAGGCTTCCAGGCTGGAGGCATGCCAGCCACACTGTGCCCAAGGATCTTGCCTCTGATGGCCCACAGGGGCTTGTGGAGGACTCAGGCCCTTAGCAGGCCAGGCCTGGGCCAAGGTGAGAGCTGGCACTTCACTCCAACTCTGCACTGATCTGTGGGATAGAGTCCTCATCCCTTTCTGTGCCTTGGCTTCCCCAAGGGAAGAGCAGGCGGTGCTCGTAATGCTGATTTCTCAGTGCTCCCCATCCTTCAGAGAGCTGCTTCTAGCTCTGAGCAAGGGAGAGCTTGTTTAGGTCTCCAAAAGTCCTTGAGCCCTGACTTCCTGTGTGTCAGTAAAAATCAGGAGGCAGGTGAGTCTTGTCTCTGAAGTTGGTCATGGCCCCTTTCCAACCCTTTCCTAAAAGCATGAGAGCTTCCTGTGCCTCCACCTCCCAGCAATGGGTAATGTGCAACCTCCAGTGGGGAGACCATTTCTGTCTGCAGACTCAGGGAGATGGGCTGAGACAGACAGAGACTGCTTGGTCCAGAGAACCAAGCTCACAGAGTTAGCAATCTCAGAGGGCCATGGCCCAAAACATGAAGATGTCCCTGGCTGTGTCAACAGATGAATGATCAAAGTAGGGAGGTGGAAGCAGCCCAGGGAAGGGAAATGGGAAGCTCCGGTCAGAGTCAGAGCCCCTTCCGTCAAGGATCACCTGCTTGATACCCAACCTGGTCCTTTCTGCTTTCTTCCAGGGCCAGGTCCCCACAGACCCACCTGCCATGCTGTGCTGTTGGGCCGACAGTGCCTCTTCGCAGATTCTAAGGTTCCGTACACGGTTGGTCCTCAGACATCAAGCTCCACCAGTAGGCTCTGGCCCAGGGACTCTCATTCCCACCACAGTCTGCAGATGGCCCTCCTGCTGCCTTTCAGTTCCCCAGATTCCTGCTTGGAGAGTGCCTCATATACTGCTTGTTCTCACCCCCACCCCCACCCTCCCAATCCTCCTTAGGGGCCTGGAGAAGCCACTTGGAAAATTAGATCTGTTCAGACCCCACAGCTCCAGGGAGCCACATGCAGGAAAAAGAGTGGAGAAAGGGGTGAGTAGGAGGAGAAAGAAAGAGGGAGAGAAACAAGAGGGAGAGAGAGGGCAAGGGGAATGCCTTCAGCACCCTGGACAGCCCAAGACCTGGCTGGGCTCCCAGGAGGAAGGGAGACGGGGCCAGCACTGAGAAACCAGCATTACTGAGTGCCCCCTATGTGTCAAGCCCTGTACTGCACACTGTTCATGCAACCCACTGAGACAGGTACTGCTATTACGCTTACTTTACAGATAAAGAAAGTATGGCCCAGAGAGGTTAGGTCATCTGACCAAAGACACAGAGCTAGCAAGTGGCAGGGTTGACTGTGAGTCTCAGCCTCTGCCCGTCACACCACATGGAATCTCTGAGAATTAGAATGCAGGTGTTTCAAGTTCCCCATCTGGGTGGACGGTTAGGTGGAGGTAGAAACCTCAGTCCAGTGCACTTCCAGCCCTCCACCCTCTGCCCACTTTCTCCCCCCCACAAGTGAAATCAACTTTCACTGAGTGTTTTGGACATTGGCTACATGTTGGGGAGACACACACACACACACACACACACAACCTTTACAAAACCTCTGAGGTGGGCATTGTGTCTTCTTTCTTCACATTGCTTTATTCAGTCAACAAATGTTTACTGAGCTGTCACTTCATGGTTCTTCAAGGGCAAGCCAGAGCCCTACTCCCTTTCCACTCCTCAACCCCTCAACCCCTATCTGTCTTTTTTCTCCTGCTCCGCTCCGTGTTTCAGGAACTGTTCTAGACACCTGAGAGACATTGACAAACAAACAGACAAAACAAAGAGTTTTTCCCCTTGCAGCACTTACCTTCTAGCAGGGGTTGGAAGGAGTGTGATTCCATGAACAACAAAGATGGCGAGTAGATTTATTGGTATTGTATTATTATTATTATTTTGGAGAGGTTTTGGCTATAGGGTGCGTGCGCTTGCCTAAAAGACAGAGAGAGACAGAGAGGCAGAAAGCGAGAAATCACCCCCTGGGGGGATGGCTACTCTGCAATCCCTTCTCCTCCATTCTCCTCTTGGGATCTTGAGTACCTGGCATGAGTTTAAGCCACCAGGTCTGTGACTCGAACCGCAGTCGACGACGTGGGAGTTCAACGATATAGCCATTATGCCAACTGCTGGTTCCGATTTATTGGTATTTTAAAAGTTAGAAAGTGATAGAAACAAAAAGTAAAGAATTATAAGTAAATATAATTCCTTATGTTTTCCATACCACTACACAATCTGTTTTTTTAAAGAATGATTTATTATTATTTTTAAAATTTTCTATAGGGCATATGCACTCATTGGAGAGAGACAGGGTGGGGGTGGTGAGAAAGTAGGCTTCCAGGTCTGGGACTCGAACTGTGATTGACCATGTGGGAGTCCAGTCCATTAACCAACCAACACTATACAGTCTTTACCATTATAATTTCAGTGGTCAGAGACTGGGTGAGTGGATGTGCTACTGCCTTTGGTTGGAGATTTTTATCTAGTGTAATCTTGTTCTGAAAGAATCCTGGGGCCTTTGTTGATGTGGCCTCTCGGATCCCTCCCCCGACCTTCCTACTGATAAGACTCCTTGAAGCAGGGTGGTGGAGGGACAAGAGATGGAGGGCATTCTGTAACGCAGGGCAAATCCCGAAAACTTCACTTCCCAGCATCCCTTGCCACTAGCTTCTAGCTGGATTCAGCCTATAGGAGACACTGGCAGGAGCCCAGAGGAAAGTTTAATCCCTAAGACAAAAGAATCACCCTCTCTGTTTTTGACAGTGTCCCAGGGATGGCTGAGTCTCCTGCCTGGTCTGGGTTTTCAGATACTCCTCCCTACGTGGCCCCAAGTGTTAGGCCCTGGTATCACTGCCTCCTTCCTTCCTTCCTTCTTTCCTTCCTTCCTTCCTTCCTCCCTCCCTCCCTCCGTTCCTTTCTTCCTTCCTCCCTCCCTCTCTTCCTTCCTTCCTTCCTTCTTTCCTTCCTTTGTCCCTCCAGCCTGGAGGTGGTAGAGGCCCCTTGCTTCTCCCTCCTTTGATCTGCCAGTGTGAACTGGCTCATAACCTGATACCTCTGTGATCACTCTCTTACCCGATTTCCCACGGTGGGACTGTGGGCGAGGGTTCGGATTTCCAGAGCTCACCCTGACTGTATACTCCACATCTGAGCTGTTTGCAACTTCTTGTGAGAAATTCCTTCATGAATGTCATGCTTTTGTCCTCTTTTGAATTTTTTCATTATGATAAAACCTCAGGATTAGCCATACTGGGTCAAAGATTATGAACATTGCTAAGGCTCTTGTTACATGTTGCTTAGATTCTTGAGGCCATAAATGATCGCTGGGGACAGCTTTTGAATGGAAAGAACAATTCATTATTATCTGAGGGCAGTTAAGCCGAGGCTGGTATAGCAACCAGAGAGGATGCTGGGATTTACAGCCCTTGGTTAAAGTCCTCAGCCCATAATTCACTCTCTGAGTGACCCTGGGCAAGTCATTTTGCCTCTCCGGGCTTTGGTTTCCCTATCTATAAACAGAGATTTTATTGTACATGTCTCTTCACAGGGCAGCTGAGATTAGAACCCTACGAACCATCATCATTGTCTCCACTACTGAGCACTTGACGAGAGGTAAACACTGATTGGGTGATTGATTGCAGAGAGTGCCCAGTGCCCTAGAGTCCCACAGGAAAGAGGATGTTTAAATAAAGGGAAGATTGTGTCAGTCAGATCCCAGCAGGAAGCAGGTGGCATGGGTGGATTAGAGTCATTTATTTACAAAAGGCTCATAGGATGTGTGGGGTTGTTGTAACCTGGGATTGCCACCATGAGGCCCACAGAGATAAGGGTAGGGGTAGGAGTAGAGACCCTCAGTTGAGGGATACAGTTAGCCTGCGACAAACCCCTGGGGAGGCAGCAATGGCAACAAATACCCTGACCTCACTTTTCCCTCCTTTGATCTGCCAGGGCTATCCCTGGCCAAACCCAAACAGACCTCAACAGGCACAAAGGTCTGATGATATTTCATTCAAGTCAAGCTCCCAGGTAAGTGGGCTCAGCAGGGAAGGGCAGAAAGATATCTGATGGGTGAAGGGAAGATACCTGGTACAGTCCACCCCTTGGCTTCTTATCATCCAGTTGTGTTCTCTAACCAGAGAAAAGTTTAGTCCCTAAGACGAAGGACTCGCACAGTCCCATCAGCTACTCTATTAGCAAAGTGGTGTCAATTCACCTTACCACCACTTGGAACCCATGACATAGCACCACCTCCTATCAGAAAGTGGGTACAAAAGAAACAATGGAACACATGGCTGGCTGATTGCTATTGGGTTGCCCATTTGCCATTGACCAGGATTGCTGGACAGAGGAGTGCTAAGGGGCTCCCCAGTTACTATACTGGGTTCTAGTCAGAACCCTCCTTGCCTCTATCTGGAGACCACAACCAAATGTCTTTGGATAATCAGGACCCACTGTTGGGCTCATGTAGTAATTCCCTTCTCTACGTGTTGATTAAAAGTTAGGAGAAGGTCAAAATGGCCCAGGGGTAGTTTAGTTTTCAATTCATCAGAGCAATCACTGCACTCCCTGCAGAAGCCATTTCTTCTCTGTGACCTACGTGCTCTGAAATAGAGCCCAATGTCCTAGGCACAAGGTGATGGGAGATGAGGCGAAACTGTGAGCCCACTGCTTCCGCTCTGCCGTAGGAGCGTGCTTGCCCGGTCAGAGGCAATGCTGGGCTGCCCACCATAGTAATAGATGGACGACACTCTTATGAGACTATGGACCATGGTTCTGGAGATAGCACGTAGGCAAGAAAAGCAAATTTACACACAGTTACAGTTCTATCTCTGTGAGTCGAAAAAGTGCTGCTTTTTCTATGGGGGAGAGATCAGATACAATCAGCCTGCAACAGGCAGCTGGCTGGTCCCCCGGAAAGGGTGCCAGTCTGTGCGCTCGGCATGGCCTCCCCTGGTGGCAGGCTGGGCCCTGAGCTGTGGCAGGCATCAAATGGGCCTCGGTGAGTGGAGTCCACGTTGTCGGACTCACGTGTGCCTCTATTCTGGCTGCCAGGGCCACCTGGGCCTAGTGAACAAGCACCAGGGTGGCTGAGGAGGAAGCTGACAGACAGCTGCAGGTCATCCTGTCCACTCAGAACCAAGGGCTCCTACTGTCACAGATGGCTTCACACCCTATGGCTGTTCTGAGAGGCCCATCCACACACCTCATTAACACCAATTTTGTTTACACCAGCATGGTGGCCATCCAGACAGCCCATTATCAATTACCCATGAGTCAAAGCAAAGAAATGCCTCAGGCCATCTTCGTCTGCATGCAGATGTACCCACTGAGGTCCTGCCCGCTGGACAGTCCCCTTCACGCTAGTATTTCAGGAGCAGCCTTGAGGGATGCATACACAGCTGCTGTCCTTTCCTGGCTGGTGCCAGAACGCCCTGTTACCCACCCATGAATGAAGCCCATACTTCCCCTTCCACACTAGCCAGTGATAAGAAACTCCCCGTGAGCTCAGGGATGTGGGAAGGAGAAGAGCTGAAACAGGAGCCTGAGCCGTCTGCTTGGTCTCATATCCGACTCTTCCCTTTTCCTGTGACTGCTCTTATGTAGGTTGAATCTTCCAGTTCGGTGGATTGGACAATGCCAGGTCCATTGTCAATGCTGGGAACTCGATCACTTGGTCACGGTCAAACATCCAGTCATTACCAGGACTAGGACCAAATCAGAAGCTGCTT